GCCAAATGCTACCTTGAAAAGTCCATGAGACTCTTACCTCCAGTAAACCACCAGAAAAACAGAAGCGCTGTGGCTCAGGTGGTAGAGTGCTTGCCTTGAGCTGAAGAGCTGAGGGACAGCACCCAGGCCCAGAGTTCAAGTCCCATGACCGACCAAAAATAATAAGGCAGGTACTGGTGGCTCATGCCTATAATCCTAGGTACTCAGGATACAGATCTGAGGATCAGTTCCAAGCCTGCCAGGCAGTAAAATCCATGCCTTATCTCCCTTAACCACCAGAAAGGGGGGAAAAAAGTGGTTCTGTGGCTCAAGTGGTAGAGCACTAACCTTGAGCAAAAAGAGCTCAGGGACAGTGCCCTGGCCCTGAGTTCAGGTCTCATGACTGTGGGGGGGAAGTGCACAGGAAGAAAAATAGAACAGACTCTTTTCCTTGAGGGAGGGGGAGAGGAATAAACAGGGTGAATGAGGATGAATATCCAATTCATGGATTTGCATCGATGAGAACAATGAAACCTATTGAAACTGTATTTTAGAAAGTAGAGAAGGTAAGGGAGAGGGAGGGGCGAGTTTGACCCAGTACATGTCTGCAAGTGTGGAATTGTCACAACGCAACCCCTCTTATGCAACTAAGATATATTAGTAATAGGTTTTTTTCTTAATGAATGTGATCCAAAAAGAGCTGGGAGTGTGGCTTGGGTGGCAGAGTGCCAAGCTAGGAAGCATGAGGCCTAGCGTTCAAACTGCAGCCCCACCAACGAAACAAATAAAATACTTTGTGTCCCCTACCTCTGTGCTGGCGCAACAGCCATGGCAAGCCACAGGTAGCAATCAAAATTAAACTTTGTTCCAAATGTACTGGCTGTGTTTTCTTTTTCCCCAGTGCCAGGGAATGGATCTGAAGACATCCACGTGCTAGCAAACACCTCAGCCCCTTACCATTTCCTTTGTATTTGCTTTTAGTTTATTGAGATAGCTCTATGTAGCCCAGGCTGGTGTCTGGAACTCACCATCCCTCTGCTTCTTGAAGATAACAAGTGTGCACACAACCATACCCTACTTTCAGTCTATCAGCAGTCACCTGAGACTCTTAAGGAACAGAGTATAAATCTCAGTGATGGCTGGCTGGAGGATTACTTCCTTTGCAGCGAGCCAGACTCCTATTTTCCCTAGGTAAGAATAAGCCATTTTGGTACCAAAAGGTGGCCTCCTGAGTGCATGTCCACATGCCCCTCCCTCTTCCCCTGCAAGCTGCTGGCTCTGAGAGCTGCCTAAGGAGCTACCTGGGTCCACACAGCAGCTGCAGGGCGGGGAGGGGCCTGGCTGCAAAGCAGGTGCACCTACACACATACCCACAAACCCTGTGCCCTGCCAAAGGTATGGCCCAGCCGGTGACCCGTGAGAGCTGAGGTCACTGGGGGAAGGAGCAAGGACTGTGGTTCCCCCTGGCGGAGCCATGGGAGGACTATGATCAGGAGGAAGAGACAGGAAGGCTCAGGCTTCCGGAGGACTTCCTCCGGCTGCCAGAAGGGTTCAGAGATGCCAGTGTGGAGAGCGGAGGCCGGCTCAGCACCTGGCCAAGGTGAGAGAATGTTCCATTCTCCACACGTGGCTCTACCCCAGCTCCTTGGTAGAGCCTTCCACAGCTATCCCTGCTCAGCATGACCTTTGCCATGTGGCCTGCCATTTTCCAGATCTTTCCCCCCTGGGGTGGAACAAAAGCACTGTGGTCACTGAAGCTCCCAGCTGTCTCAAGTATGCTGATGACAAGCAGGTGAATGTCCAGGGCCCGGCCTCTGTAATTAGCCTCCACCGCCCCAGGTTCCCACCAGTAAATTCAACCAGCCATAGACCAAAAATACCCCTTCAAAGTGGAGCATGGTAGCTCCCACCTGTAATCCCAGCTACACATGAGGTGTAAGTAGAAGAATCTCATTCCCAGTCTTGAGAGACTCCCCCTGCCATGGGGGCAACAAAAGCAAAGTAGGGCCAGGCGCCAGTGGCTCATGCCTATAATCCTAGCTACTCATGAGGCTCAGATCTGAGGATCACAGTTCAAAGCCAGCCCAGGCAGAAAAGTCCATGAGACTTATCTCCAATAAACCACCAGTAAACTAGAAGTGGCGCCGTGGCTCAAGTGGGACATGGCTCAAGTGGTAGAGTGCCTGCCTAGCAAGCCTGAGGCCCTGAGTTCAAACTGTAGGACCACCCAAAAAAATAAGTTACATGTGCTGAGTGCACAGTTTCTTTTTGTCAATTGTTCTAGTGGTCTAGAGATTTCAGACTCTCACCAGGCCATGTTAGGGAAGGGACCAGAGTGCCCGTGAGAGTCGCAGAACCACACCTGTAGTCCCTTTGCCTCCAGATCTGTTTGCCTCCCAATTGCACTGACATGGTATCTCACCCCTCCCCCACGGGGCAGGGCACACCATCCCCCATGATCCCAATTGGTAATGATTGTCTTTTCTCATGCTTTCCTTGGCAAGTGGCCTGTTCAGTCCTAGCATTCGGTGGCCAGCAGCCAGTCAAGTGATACTGAAGATAAAGATCCAGGTCCGAATCGGCCCCTCCATGGGACTTGCATCTCTGATTCTTCCTGGGAGGGCCTCGTATGTGTGGGCAGCAGGGCGGGGAGCCCAGAACCTTCTCTCAGGATGACCAAGGTGATGGGGACAAAGGTCTTTGTACTGGACAGGTGGAGCTACAGCTCCAGTAGTAGACAAACCATCCTCGGTGCAGAGCCAGCTGATCCGAAAATAATAACAGTCCGCTGGACCAATTTTTTTCTTTGACTAGAAAAAAAGAAAGTCAGATGCTGGTGGCTCACGCCTATCATCCTAGCTACTCGGGAGGCTGAGATCTCAGGATCATATTTCAAAGCCAGCACAGGCAGGAAAGTTTGTGAGACTCCTCTCAAACCACCAGAAAACCAGAAATGGCCCTGTCGCTCAAAGTGATGGAGTGCTAGCCTTGAGCAAAATGCTCAGGGACAGTGCCCAAGCCCCGAGTTCAAGTCCCACAACTGCCCCCCCCCCAAAAAATGCCAGCTGTGTGAGAGGTCTGTGTGTGGCGTGGCTCAAGTGGTAGATTGCCAGCCAGGTAGCTGAACAAGCATGTGTCTCCAAGTTTAAACCCATGTACTGGAGGGGGAAAAAAATCCAACTGGACATGGTGGCCATGCCTGTCACCCACAGACTCAGGAGGTGGAGGCAGGAGAATCGAGAGTTCTAAGCCAGCCTGCACTACATAGTGAGGCTTTGTCTAAAAAACAGACAAACCAACTGATAATCCCTGAATTGAGACAATTCCAGCTGAAGTTTTTTCATTATTATTTATGATCCACACATCTATTCTGGTTTTCGTGTTCATGTACAGCAAACCCAATAGATGCTGTGAGACTCTGTTCTATACTTGGTTATAAAAAGTGGCTTTGTGGAGAATTTGCCTCCTTCAGGAATAATATGTGCTCAGAGCTTTGTTCAGGCATGTCTAGCCACGCTAGAATGTTCAGCCAATTAGGTGGAATTATTGCATTTTTTAAATTTTTTTCTTTTCTTTTGGTGCCAGTCCTGGGGCTTGAACTTAGGGCCTGAGTGATGAGAATTAACACCTGGCTACTTTAAAGTGCTTTAGAGTACTTTAACTTACAATGGGTTTATTGAGCATACCTCCTGATACATCAGAAAAATCAGCTATATCCATAAACTTCCGACTTCTTAGAAGAATCCAGGTGTTGGAAGGAAAGATTTGGTGCACAAGCAGATTATCTGAGTGGCCGGTTCATACCCATCGTGCCTCAGTTGAACTATCTGTAAACCAGGTTTGACTGTAGCCCCACATCACCAGGCTGTTGTGAGGGTGCATTCGCTGACAGAAAGTGCTTGAAGCTGCACCTGATCTCCCGGAAAGCTACTCTGAGTGTCAGTGGCTAGTGAAAGGGTTGGCTGGAGTCCAGGGTTGCTGGCACTGGCCCATTCAGATCTGGCTTGGGCTTCTGTGTTTATCTATGGCTTCAGCAACCAGCGGCCCTCGGCCTTGCTCCAGGCTGCTTCTTGGGTGGGACCCACTGTGAGATTCGTGTCTGTCCTCACTGTCCAGTGGAGTATGGTGGCTTCTAACCTCATCCTAGCCAGGACTGAGGTTACAGCCCTTGGACCCCCCAGGTCCTCCCCCCAGGCATCCCAGCCCCAGAGAGGAGGGGAATGTGCTAGAATTGCGTGGAGGAATCTGGGCACTGGGGCTCACAATCCTAACAAGGAGACTGAAGATGGAGATTCCCAGCCCAGGCAGGAAAGGTCCTAAGACCAATCATCTCCAATGAACCATCAAAAAGCCAGAAATGGAGCTGTGGCTCAAGTGATAGAGCACCAGCCTTGAGTAGAAAGAGCTCAGGAACAGTGCCCAGGCCCTGAGTTCAAGCCTCAGGACCAGCGCACACATACACATAGTAGAACTGAGTGGAGGAGACTCCCCCGGGTTTCCCGCATGAGTCCCTTCACTGCCTCTGCTCTGTGAACTTTCCTCTGAGCCTTGTGTCCCCAAGGTGGGGGAATCAGGTAACTTAGAGTGGCATTCCCAAGGGCATTCAGGCCCCACCGGGACACCCAGCAGGACTTCTGTGACAGTGACAAACACTGGGCTGTGTCCCCTGATGGCTGTCCAACCTGGAGTTGCAAAAGTGGCCTATGTAACCATGACTAGTTCCCCCTGCAGCTCCTGTAACCACCTGGCCCTCACCTGGTCTTCCCTCTACCTACGCCACCCAGCAGCCTGCTGCAAGTGCCATCAGACTCACCCAGATGGCTGCCTGAGCCTGCCTGGCACCTCCTGCGTCTACCCGGCTCCTCACTGGGTCCCCAAGTCTGGTCCCCATCCAGGCCCAAGCTCAGGGCTGGCGTGGGACAGCACAGTGGGAAACACGCATGACCACGGAGAATGGGTGGGCTGTGCTCACCCAGACCCTCATCTGCTTCCTGCTCTCTTTCTCTGATCCCTTTCTACAGGACGATTACAGCTTGGGACAGCCATGTCCAGCCGGAAGTACAAGGACAGACCGGACGACCAGCCTGGTGTCCGTGGAGACCCGTACTGCCAGCCAGGTGGGTGTGGGTTTCTGCAGGGAATGGTGACGGAGCAGCAGTGCAGACTGCGGACCTAGGGGAGTTGAGGAATGTGACTCTTGACTCAGGGCTCAATGCTTGACTCAGTGGGACTTTCTTGAGACACCTATGGGGGACCTGGGGTCAGAAGGAGACACACTGGAGCTGACTGGGGACACGTGTGGTGGCCCTTTGTCCCCCATGCTCCAGAGGAAGAAGCAGGAGGTAGAAAGGCAAGGGGAGACAAGGTCCCAGCGGGTCACCAGGCCCAGGCTTAAATGTGAGTTCCAGACACCTGAGCCCCAGGCTGGCCACAGGTCTTAAAGGCACTGGCTGAGTAGGGAGCCCTTCCTTTCTCCAAAAGAAGACAGGGCAGCCGGGTGCTGCTGGCTCACGCCTGTAATCCTAGCTACTCAGGAGGCTGAGATCTGAGGATTGCGGTTCAAAGCCATCTGGGACAAAAAAGTCTGTGAGCCTTTTTACCTCCAATAAACCACGTTCCCTCTCCCACAGGACCCAGCCATCGGAGCCACGAGGCACCCATGTACCCGTCAACTAGCTCCCACCAGTCTCCGCTGGCGCGCCCTAAGACGCAGCCCCCATCACCCCCAGGACCCTCTCGGCGGCCGCCTCCTCCACCAGCACGTCCCGGCTCAGCCCCATGGAACGGCTCGAGAAACGGAGGTGTCCGGGACAACACCAACCGCAGCTTCAACGAGAAGCCGCCCTTCCCAAACAGGGGACCGAAGGCCAGCACGGGCCCCAGGCCGGCACCGCTGCACTACTGCGAAGTCTGCAAGATCAGCTGCGGGGGGCTCCAGGTCAGTCACGCACCACCAAGTGACATCCAGGACCCCTGGGGCTGAGCAGAGGTCAGGCCTGAGGGAGGGCCCCGCAGGGCAGGGGGGTTGGCACCTGTGAAAGAAGGACGAGGGACCTGCCATCAAGTTTGTGATGGCATGGAAATGGCTCCCAGGGAAGGAAGGTCACCTGAGCACAGGCATGGCCCTGTGGCATCGCTTTGCAGTCTGGTGGGGCAGGTGAGACGCAGTGTGAGCCTTGAGGCTGACTTGGCTTCCAGCAAATGGCCCGTCATGGTGTCACCACACATCTCCCTGGCCCGAGCCTGTGGAAGGCACTAGAAGTTTCAGCCTGGGCCTGGGGCCTGCTGGTGACTGCAGAGCCCTGTGGCAGATCCCCTGCCACCCCCACCCAGTCAGCCCCACCTGCCCCTGTCCTCATTTCTGGGTGTGGTTTTTATCTTTCATCATGGGAATCTCGCCTGATAGAAAAGTACACACCAAGCTGGGTGTGTGAGCCCAGTGGCTCACGCCTGTCCTCTGAGCTGCTCAGGAAGCTGAGATCTGAGGATCAAGGTTCGAAGTCAGCCTGGGCAGGAAAATCCTTGAGACGCTTATCTCCAGTTAACCAGCAAAAAGCCAGAAGTGTAACTATGGCTCAAGTGGTAGGGTGCTAGCCTGAGCAGAAAAGCTCAAGAAGAGCATCCAGGCCCTCAGTTCAAACCCCAGGACTGGTACTAAGAAAAGAAATAATAATGCAGAGTTGGTGGTATATGCCTGTCATCTCCAACCATTCAGGAGGCCTAGCTAGGAGAATCTTAATTCCAAGCCAACCAAAAAACAAGACCTTATCACCCCACCGCACCCTATCCCCCCCCAAAAAAAAACTAAAGCAAAATGGGCTGAAGCTATTGCTCAAGTGGCAGAGCACCTGCCTAGCAATCACAAAGCTGAATTGAACCTCCTTATTTTATTTGTTAAAATAAGCGAGGTGCTAGTAGCTCACGCCTGTCATTCTACTTACTCAGGAGGCTGAGATCTGAGGGTCATGGTTCAAAGCCAACCTGGGCAGGAAAGTCCATGAGACTCATATCTCTACTGAAGCACCAGAAAACCAGAAGCGGTGCTGTGGCTCAAGTGGTAGAGTGCTAGCCTTGAGACAAAAAGAGCTCAGGGACAGCGCCCAGGCCCTGAGTTCAAGCCCCACAACTAACAAAAATGCATTACTTAATTAAATGTTTGCCTTCTGCCCCCACTCCCTGCTCTAATCTCTGCCTCCAAAACCTACTATTGGCACAGATCTCCCATGTGTGCCTGGAATAAGATTCTCTCCAGTGTCCACCCCGGGCATGGTCAGAGCATGTTGGGGCCTGGTGTGAGGTGTGTGGGGGCTGCCATCCCTCTTTCTCCAGGATTGTAAAGAATAGATCCGGGAGCCGGGATTCCACCAGAGCTGGGCCAGTAGATATTTTGAACCCAGCAGATATTTTCAGCCCAGCAGATGGGGGCTGTGTGGGCTGTGGCCACCTGTGGCTCTCACGTGGAGTCCCTCAGTGTATTGGCAGGTGCCTAGAAAGCACAGGGCAGTGGCCATGTCTGTAGGCAGCTGGGATCTGAGGTCCTGTAAGAGAAAGACAGGCATTCTTTCACCACCACCTCCTGTTGCTAAGCTAAAAGTGTGCTGAGACAAGGATGCTTTCTATTGTTAGAAAAGAGGAAACCTGATTTATGCCTTTCAGCCTCAGCTTCTGAGTCTAATAAAAGTGACAGTCACAGCCTATGGTCTTAGCAGCTCACAAGGCTGAGATCTGAGGACAGTGACGCAAAGCCAGCCCAGGGAAGGAGAAGTCTGTGAGACTCTTATCTCCAGTTAGCCAGGAAAAAGCCAGACGTGGAGCTGTGGCTCAAGTGTTAGAGCAACCAACCTGGAGGATAAAAATTAAAAACTTAAAAAAAAAAAAAGGGGCTGGGAAGGTGGCTCAGTGGTAGAGCGCTTGCCTTGCATGCTCAAGGCCCTGGGTTCCATTCCTCAGCACCACATAAGCAGAAAAAGCCAGAAGTGGCGCTGTGGCTCAAGTGGTAGAGTGTTTGCCTTGAGCTGAAGAGCTGAGGGACAGCGCCCAGGACCAGAGTTCAGGCCCCACGACCGGACCCAAAAAAAAAAGCGAATGGAGGGCACCCAGACCTGAGTTCAAGCCCCAGGACTGACACCAAAGGAAAAATAAAAAGTGACAGTTACACTTCTCCAGCACCAGCAGGTGGCGGGGAGGGGGGGGGGGGTGCTATCCTCCTGTCTCTCCTGGGCTCCTGCCAGATGTGTGTGACCCCTCACTGAGGCCTCCTTCCCCCTCTACCGCAGACCTACCGGGACCACCTGGAAGGACAGAGGCACCGGAAGAAGGAGGCGGCCCAGAGGGCGGGCGCCCAGTCCAGCGGCGCTGTGCAGGGCCAGCTGCACTGTGACCTGTGCTCTGTGTCCTGCACCGGGGCGGACGCCTACGCCGCCCACATCCGGGGAGCTAAGCACAAGAAGGTAGGAAGGAACCCGGGCCCCTTGGAAATGGCAGTGGCACAGCGCCCCCAAGTGGCAGCACTGTTGAAGGGTGGGTGTGGCGGGCTCACCTGTGTAGTGAAGGAAAGAACCCCCCACCCCCACCCCCCGGGCCACCACCACACACACACACACACACACACACACACACACACTCACATACACACACACACACACACACACACACACACACACACGGGACATCTGCCTAGGTACAGCTGCTCACTGAGCAGGCCCTGTCCCACTCCCCAACAACAAACACGCAGGTGTTGGAGGCCCACCTACCTCACATCCTCCTGCCCCTGGGCCTTTGCATAGGGGCTCCACTTCCAATCTGTCCCTAGCTTCTCCCCCCATTCACTCCTAGGTTCACCCCGGGCCTCAGTCTCTGGCCCAACTCAGGGCAGAATCCCTAGTACCAGGGTGAACCCCTGAAAAATTAAGCTAGGTGGCACAGAGAATGGGAGAGATTGGAAACCAGGAGCCCCGGCAGCAAGTGGAGTGTGGTTGGTGGTTGGGGTGAGCGGGGGGGGGGGGGGGGGGGGGGGGTTGGACCAGCCCCAGGTTGGGACTTGTTCTGGAAATAATTTGGGGGTGACATGGTCTCGGTTACGTGGGGTTGAGGACAGATCTGAGGTATGAGAGTCAAAGACTCAGAGCTGGCAGTCATGTCTGACATGGTAGTTGGCATGGACGGCAGAGGCCAGGAGGGGGCCGGAAGCGCATGAGGGTCATGGCCAGCTCATACCCAGACCTGCGCACATTATTTGTCTGTTGTATATGAGAGTGTATGTGCCAGTACCGGGGCTTGAACTCAGGGCCTAGGTACTGTCCTTTATCTTTCTCACTGATGGCTGGTGCTCTACCACTTGAGCCACAGCTCCATTTCTAGCCTTTTGCTGGTTCACTAGAGATAAGAGTCTCACAGACTTTTCTACCCAGACTGGCTTCAAACAGTGATCCTCAAGTCTCAGTCCTCCTGAATAGCTAGGATTACAGGTGTGAGCCACTAGTACCTGGGCCTTTTTTGCTGGGGGACAGGGAGAGACAAGGTGGTTGTGACAGGGGACTGGTATATATAGACCAGGCTAGCCTCAAAGCTGTAAGCCTCTTGCCTCCACCTCCTGAGGGTTGGGATTATAGGTGTTCACCCCCATGCCCAGCTATGTGCACTTCTTACCCAGACTTACCATCTCCCAGGATCCTGTGCATGCATCCATCTTAGCTGGCAACCCCTAACCCCACGTCAGTCACACACACTTGCTGAGGCCTCTCTGGGCCTGGGCACCAAGAGGCAAAGACGCCACAGGCAGAGGCTTGTCAGTACCATGAAGTCGGAGGAAGAGTATTACTGGAATTAAGAAAATCATTGCAAGGGCTCTTCTGCAGAGAGTGGGGAGGAAATTCAGAGTGAGCCCTCCCCTCTGCCCCCTCCTCCCCCCCTGCACCCCTGCTCCAGGACAAAGCCACTGCACTCCTCACCTCTCCCCTGCGCACCCTCAGGCTGCCCTGCCTGGTACTGAAGGTGGCTCTTGATAGGCGTGGCATGTGTTAACAGGTCTACAAGCTGCACACCAGGCTGGGGAAGCCGATTCCCACCATTGAGCCCGTGCCAAGGAACTCCACCTCCACCCGTGAACTGGGCGCCCCTGGTGAAGCCCACTCCAGCGGGCTCAATCCCAGCAGGCCAGCCAGGGGCCAGGCACCCCGGCACAACGGTAGGAATCGCCACGATACTCCCAGTGCATGCACGTGCATGTCCAGCCTGCCCCTCGTGCCCGCGCCGTCCTCCAATTGCGTTGCCTAGATTTGTACACGTGTTCCAGGGACCACGTGGTCTCGGGCAGGAATTTAAGATCCAGATTGGATAGGAGGCTAGAAGTGTGTGTGTGTGTGTGTGTGTGTGTGTGTGTGTGTGTGTGTGTGTGTGTACACAGGGCTTGAACCTGATGTTTTTTGTGCTCAAGGATGGTGCTCTACCCCTTGAGCTGTAGCTCTATTTATGGCTTTTTGCTGGTTCATTGGAGACAAGAATTTCATGGACTCCTCTGTCCGGGCTGGCTTCAATCCTCAGCTCTCAGCCTCCTCAGTAGCTGGACTGACAGGCAGGAGCCACTGGCTCCCCAGTGGAGTTTTGAGGTTCCCTCACCCAGCTGACAGCTCCTGGCCCATTACCCCATTGTGCCTCCCAGCTCCTCCCCCTAGTGGATGGTGTGCTTGTGCCCACATCCCTGGCCCAAGCTCCTCAGCTGGCTGTGGAGACGGAATTCCCACGTGGGTGGGGAACCCAGCGCACATTTTATGTTTGCCTTCAGCAACCAGTTTCCTAGATGAATAGCGGCATGGATTATTTTTGTTTGTCTGGTTGGGTGTTGTTGTGGGGGGTTTTTTCGGGGGAGGGCGGGGGAGGTGCTGGGGACAGAACCCAGGGCCTTGCACGTGCTAAGCAAGCACTGAATATCCCCCCCAGCTCTTGGTTGATTGGTTTGAGGACAGGCTACGGCAGTGGAGCCCAGGCTGACCTCAAACCTTCCATCCTCCAGCCCTTGTCTAGGGCTAGTATTACAGGTACGGCCGCCACACCCAGCAAGGAGCTTTGATAAAGAAATTTCTCTCTCCAGAGGCCACCTAAATTTGCCTTAAGGGACGGTATGACCTTTGGTCTACCCACTGTCTCCTGGCAGATTAACTCAAGACTAGAGGGACCTTATACCCTGGTGGCTTCTGCAAGCCAGCTAGCTACCCAAACCCAGGGCTCCACATCATGGACTCAAATTGGCCTTAGCTGTCATGAAAGTATGTCCAAGCTACGCAAAAACAGATATAAGACTAGACATGGTGGTACACACCTGTAACCCCAGCACATGAGAGACTAAGGCAGAGGATCATGAGTTTCAGGCAGCCTAGGCTATTTGTCTCAAAACAAATCAAAACACCTACAATAACCAAGCCAACCAATCAACACCAATAAACAAATAAACAAAGACTGAGCAACAAATCAACTTGCATTTGGGGATAAACGATGGATAAGATGGACCTGTCTGATCTCCGTGCACAAGGTCTGGTGCCATGGTTTCTGGAAACAAAGGAAAAGTTGGAGCTTTCCTGTGAGCCAGAACCCCATGAAAGCTGTTTTGAAGCCTGGCACTGGTGGCTCACACCCATAACCCTAGCTACTCAGGAGGCTGAGAGTTGAGGATCACAGTTCAAAGCCACCCCAGACAGGAAGTGTTGTTGAGACTCTTATCTCCAATTGCCACCAGAAAACAAAAAGTGGAGCTGTGGCTCCAAGTGGTAGAACGTTGGCCTTGAGCACAAAAGCTCCAGGGTAGCACCCAGGCCCTGAGTTCAAGCCCCAGGACCGGCACAAAATACTACTATTAATAATAATAAAGTTCACAGGTGCTTTCAGAGGTGACGGACCCTCGAGGTGAGTGTCACGGCTCCTGTGTGAAGAACAGACCCCTGGCCACTTGCTGAGGCCAGCAGCCCGAGTCCTCGTGATCATTCTGCAACTCCCATTACAGAGCCTGGCCGCTGTAGGCCTCCCTCACCCCATTCATTGTGCTTTGACACGGCTGACTCCATGTGGAATCTTTATCAGCTGGCCCAGGGCAAGCCCAGCTGCAGGGGTTGGGAGGGAGGGATGGAGGAGGCCCCGGGTTGTTTCTAGCCAGGGTCACACAGCTGTCCCTTTCCAGGATCTTCTGAATCGCACTCCCAGGCGGGGAGACCTAACGTGGAGAGACCCAATGCGGAGAGACCCAATGCGGAGAGACCCAATGCAGGTCGAGGGGGCCATGCCGAGCCTGCCCCGAGGGACTGCTGGGAGGCAGAGCCAGTGGGCACCGACTTCGTGGAGGAGGTAGGCAGCGGCCATGGGCAGCAGAGCCCCAGTGCCAGCCAGGACCTGCTCAGGTCAGGTTCTGAGAGCTTCCCGAACCCCACCCCAAGGGGAGATTTCCAGACCTTGTCCCCTTGTGTAGCTCTATAAGCATTGCCAATGCTAGAATACTCAGTGCAGCCCCAGGCTGGCAACGTGTATGTCCCCGCACCCATATGCACATGAGCGTGCTGAATTAGAACCACGATCCCCAGATCTCAGCCTCTGAGTAGCTAGGATTATAAGCGTGAGCCACTGGTGTCTGGCTACATCTGGCATTTTGTCCAGTTACAACAGTTAAGACTGGGCTACCGGGGGAAAAGAGGGGGGAGGTAGAGTGTGTGGCTGAGTTAAGATCAGATACAGAGGAAGGGTAGAGACCACAGAGGGCGAATGGTGGGCAGAGGCTGGGCCCCAGGACAGCCTCCCGGGACGGTGGCCATTCCCTCCAGGTGGATCAGTGGGGGAAACACACAGGAGCAGCATCGAGCTGGGGCACAATGCCACCCGACCAATGTCTCCACCATGTTTCGTGTCCTAGGTGTGCAATGATGAAGGGAAGTTGATTCGCTTCCGCTGCAAGCTGTGCGAATGCAACTTCAACGATCTCAATGCCAAGGACATGCATGTGACCGGGCGGCGCCACCGGCTGCAGTACAGGGTGTGTCCATTGGGGGTGCAAAGCACCATCCCAGGGGCCTAGCGGGGAGCTGGAACAGACACCCACCTCTGCGCCTGAGTCTCTTCTCTGGGTGGGTGGGGGGGGAGAACTTCTGTGTTCTTCATCATGGCGTCTCCATGCGACATCTCCAGGAGCATCTTCATGTGAGCAGAGCGCTGGGTGACACCCCCAGGCCCCATGGGCCACTGCGCCCCAGCCTCTCTGCTCCAGCTCTGCGGAGGGCGCCCTAGACCTGCCTGTTCTCCAAAGTGCTGCACTGCAGAGCTGCTAAGCACCATAGCTTGGTGGGCACCATCAACCCTGGCTCCTTTAGCTGTGGATGCTGCCTCTCAGCCCCTCCTGCTCCTCCTCAGAAGCAGTGGTTACCACACACACACACACACACACACACACACACACCCATACCCATGTCCTGGGTCAGCCCCTCATCCACTGCCTACACAAGAATCAGGAACCAAGGGACCAATAGATGGAGGAACAGATCAGTGGATAGAGGGAGGGAGGGAGGGAGGGAGGGAGGGATGGATGGATGGATACATAGATGGACGGAAGGAAGAGAGGGAGGGAAAAAGGTAAGGAAGAAAGGGAAGAGGAAGGAAGGAAAGGAGGAAGGGTGAGGGTGAATAGAGTGTGTAAGTGGATGGACAGACAGATGGACAAATGGATGGATGAGCAGGTAGATGGGTGGGTTGTATGTGAATCAATGGTATCTGTTTTATATCGTTGTTGTTTGTGGGGTTCAAACTCAGGGCCTGGGTGCTACCACTCTGAGCCACAGCACCACTTCTGGTTTTCTGGTGGTTCATTGGAGATAAGAATCTCACGGGGACTTTTCTACCTGGGCTGGCTTTGAACCACAGTCCTCAGATCTCAGCCTCCTGAGTAGCTAGGATGACAGGCGTGAGGCACCAGCGCCCAGCTGGTATCTATTTTGGAAAGTATCTTCAAATCTGGCCACACAGAAAACTTAGAAGCAGATTTATAAAGCAGGTGGGAGGGCGGCCAACTCCATAAGAAACCTTTGGATGGTCCCAGTAGCTGGTTTCATCCCTTGCTGTGTGATTTTGGGGGCAGCCGTGTTACTGGATCGTCAGCAAGCTCCCTTCCACAACCACCGCGCTCTTCACCGACACAGCCCCACACAGCACCCGTGGCACAGCGGCTGCCACGGGCTGCGCACACGCTTCAGCTCAGCGCCATGAGTCACTAAGGCCATGTTGCTCCGGATGTGCGTTTGCTGTTCCGAGGCCTGTGACCATCCTGTCCCGGCCCCTAGTCGGAAACGCAGACCACTCACGTGCCACTGCTGTGAGCTGCGTCATCCTGACGCTTGCTCCCCTGAGTACCCACTGACCCCTATTCCCTTTAGGGTGCAGAGCAGCCGGAGGGCAGCAGCCAGGGGCCTCCCTGGGTAACCCCGCCTCCTTGCCTTTGCAGAGGAAAGTGGACCCCAGCCTTCCCATCGCCTCGGGGCCCAACGTCCGCCTGCAGAAGGCGCTGGCCGAGCAGCTGCACCGGCAGAGGCAGGTGACCCAGAAGAAGCTGGAGGACATGCGACAGCGCTGGCGCATGGACCTGAGGTACCCGCAGTCCCCCACGCACACACACGCACACGCACGCACACGCCTGGCCACAGCACCCAGCACACGTGTGGGGCCACTCCCCTCCCCCAGCCTAGCTCAGACCCAAGTCCATCCAGGCATTGGACAGTGGACAGTGGGGCGGGGGGGACAGTCATGGACGGGAGCCTGGGGCCCCTTGTCTCCCTCCCTCCAGCATCTCTGATGCTCCCTGACTGCCACACACTTTGCCCCACCCTTCAAGAGCCCCTCAGCGTGCTCCTGCACAATGTCTGCCTTCCCAGCGCCCGGCCTCAGCAAACCCAAGCAGGGCAGGCCACAGAATGGTCCCACGGCACAGTGGTCCAGCCCAAGGCCTCTTCTATGCCCCCAGGGCGTGGCTGCCGCCAACCTCTGGCCTTCCTGCCTCAGTCTCCCACAAGCAGGCAGCATGCAAAGCACCCTCAGTGCCAGGCACTGCCCACCACACCAGGGGCCCCAGGGCAGCGTCCCAGCCCTCGGTTCCCTCTGGTCCCCGCAGGGATCATGAAGAGCGCTGCAAGCGGGCGGAGGAGCCGCAGCCCCCGGAGCAGGAGCTGCCCGCCGCGGCACCGTCCTGGGCCCCGGGGCCCAGTACCAGCAGCCAGGCCACGCCCTCAGCCCCACGTCAGGTGGGTGCCGGGTGCCCGTGTGAAATGTCTCCCAATTCTTGAGAGACCCCCATCTCCTCCTGGGCTTCGAGGTGTAGGGAGAGGTGGCATTCTGTGGCTTGGACTCTGGGCTGGATGTGAGGGAGACTCAATTTGCACCCTACCTCTGGTGTGGACCAAAGGGGAAGCACCAGACCGCCCCCCCCACTCAGACCAAGGCCCCTGAGTCAGCAAGGCTCAGGCCTCTGCTCCACCACCCCACCCCACGGCTCTCAGGCTCCGCCACGGCACCCCCCATGAGCTGGATACCTCACCTCCAATCACTGCTGTCCACCTGCTGTGGCTCCTTCATTCCAGCCTGGCCCCAGGGCCCCTTCTGTGTCTTCTGATTGCTGTCCACCACTAGGACACAGCCTGGCCCTTTTGTCCCATACCCCCATCCCCCATGCCCTTCGTATGAGACCCACTGACAGAGGCTCCCCTCCCCCCCAGCCCAAGCGCCGGCCGGAGTCCAGTGATGACCGCCACGTCATGGGCAAGCACGCCACTATCTACCCCACGGAGGAGGAACTGGAAGCCATCCAGAAGACCGTGTCCCACGTGGAACGGGCCCTCCGCATGGTGTCTGACATGCTAGCTGAGGAGGAGCAGGAGAGGGCAGAGGAGGAGGGCTATGAACACAGGTAATGCCACCACCACCACCACCACCCCCCCCAGAGCAAAGCCAGGTTCCAGTCCTCATTGCTCCGTGAGCCAGGGTCCCCACGCCACAGGTCCCCAGAGACACACAGTGACTGCAGTCCACCGCTTGGAAGACTGAGATGGGGGATGGCATGAGCAAGGAGTTTGGGACCAGCCTGGACAGCACATGGAGACCCCACCCCCAAAAACACAAATGCACTGGAGGGGGAGCTGTGGCTTAGGCCCAAGAGCACCGGCCTTGGGCATTAAAGCCAAGGGAAAGCACCGGGCCCTGAGTTCAGGCCCCAGTACGGACAAGAAAGAAAGAGAGAAAGAGGGAGAGAAAGAAAGAAAGGAAGGAAGGAAGGTAGGAAGAAAGGAAGGAAGGAGAGAGAAAGGAAGGAAGGAAGGAGGAAGAGAAAGGGGAAGTGGCGAAGGAAGAGAAGGAGGGAGGGGGAAGGAAGAAGGAAGAGGAGGGAGAAAGGAAAGAAAGAAAGAAGGAAGGAAGGACACAGAAAGCTGACATTTTGCAGAACCTGTTTTTCGTGAGCAGAGGGAAGCCGGGGAGACGGTACCCCGACTCCCCACGTCGCGAGCCGTCACAGAGCCAGCCACAATCCACCCGCATCCACATGAGCCACAGCCCTAAGGACGCAGGCAGAGTCCTCAGGTCATACCTACCACACGACTCGATGGCCTGGGGAGCTCAGCTCTCCCAAGCCCTTCCTCCCTGGGTAGCAGCGTCATCTTCATTTCCTTTCTTTAGCGGTAAAATGTACACCACCTAAAAGTTCTCGTCTTAACTTTTCTTTTTGGTTTCATTGGAATTTGAACTCAGAGCCTGGTACTTTCTAGGCAATCACTCTACCACTAGCCATCCCACGTGAGATACTCTCCTCCCACCTGAGCCACGCCCCAGCTGTTTTTAACTCTGTGTGTGTGTGTGTGCGCGTGAGAGAGAGAGAGAGAGAGAGAGAGAGAGAGAGAGAAAGTATATACTGGGGCTTGAACGTGGGCCTGGGAGCCATCCCTGAGCTTTCTCACTCAAGGCCAGCGCTCTACCACTTGAGCCACAGCTCCACTTTGGTGGTTAATTAGAGATAAGAGCCCCATGGACTTTCTTTCCCAGCTGGTCTCCACCTGCGATCCTCCCCTCTCAGCCTCCTGAATAGCTAGGATTGCAGGCATGAGCCACTGGTGCCAGACTCATTCAAGTGTATATCACTGGGTGTCATTTGTCACGGTCACGTGGCTGTGCAGCCACCACCCCCTCCCAATCCATCTCAGAACTTACTCATCTTCCCACACCAAAAGTTGAGCCCCATTGAACCCTTGCCCCCTGTTAGTTTAACAGACCCACAGATGTACTCTCCATCCTGTAGATGTGCCTATGGGAACAATTCACACACATGGACCCACACTCAGAGGGGCCTGGCAGGAGCCATTGGGGTGTCCAGGCCTCAGGTCACCACAGGCGTCCTCCCCACCCCCACCCTCGTGTCTTCATGGGCGCCCGAGTGTCCTCCACCCAAGTTAGCCCAGCACAAAATGAACCCTTGAGCCGGGCGCTGGTGGCTCACACGTATAATCCTAGCTACTCAGGAGGCTGAGGTCTGAGGATCAGTGGTTCAAAGCCAGCCCAGGCAGGAAAGTCCATAAGACTCTTTATCTCCAATAAATTACCCCCTCCAAGAAAAAGCCAGAAATGGAGCTATGGCTCAAGTCACCCACAGATGTCATACAGGCCACAGAGCATGCTGGGGGACGGCGGGGGAGAAATCTGTGGATTCCAACATCACTGTCCCTTGCACACAATGACCTGTGTGCACACAATGACCTGTGTGCACACAGTGACCTGTGTGCACACAATGACCTGTGTGCACACAATGACCTGGCATAACTTTCACTCCCTCCTAATGGAGGGGGGGGAACGCCCTGTCAGAAGGGCCAGAGTCTCACTTGACAGATGAGGAAACCGAGGCTCCCCTGCCCTGATGGTGCATCTCTGGCTCTGTCTCCACAGCGGCCCTCGGGCCCTGAAAGGCGTCATGCGTGTCGGCATCCTGGCGAAAGGCCTCGTCCTTCGGGGGGACCGGAGCGTGAAGCTGGCCCTTCTCTGCTCCCAGAAGCCCACGCGTGCCCTGGTGCAGGAGATCGCAGAGAGGCTGCCTGAGCAGCTCCTGGTAAGGGTGGCCATACTGCTGTGCCCTTCTTCCATGATCCTTTCCCTCCCAAACAACCCTCACATCCTGCCAGGTGTGAATGCAGCATCGTTTTTTTTTTTTAAGCCAGGCACTGGTGGCTCACGCCTGTCATCCTAGCTACTCAGGAGGCTGAGATCTGAGGATCATGGTTCAAAGCCAGCCCAGGCAGGAAAGTCCATGAGACTCTTATCTCCAATAAACTAATAGAAAACCAGAAGTGGTGCTGTGGCTCAAGTGGTAGAGCGCTCACCTTGAGCAAAAGAGCTCAAGGATCGCGCCCAGGCCTGAGTTCAATCCCCAAACTGTCACACAGAAAACAATAATAGTAATAGTAATCAAGGTACTGGTGGCTCCCACCTGTAATCCCAGTTTCTTAGAACCTGAGATCTGAGGATGACAGTTCAAAGCCAGCCTGGACAGCAGCATCCATGAGACTCTTCTCGCCAATTAACCACCAAATAGCCAGAAGCGGTGCTGTGGCTCAAATGGGAGTATACTAGCCCTGGGCAAAAAAAAGCTCAGGGACAGTGCCCAGGACCTGAGTTTAAGCACAGAAGTGACACAACAACAACAATGATAATAATAATCATAGTAATAATAGTAAACTCAGGCAAAAAGGGTGAGAGACGCAGCTGAGGGATAGAATTCCAGCCGAACGAGTGAGTTCAATCCCAGAGAAAACAACCCAATCTCAGAGCTGTGTCTTCTTCCAGTTCTGTCTAACCTCAGGGCCTGGAAACACCCCTCCTCTCCAGGGGTTACTCATGGGAGCTAGACAGACCTCAGGGTAGATAGTTACTACACTGGCACCCCAACCTTCCCTTGACCTTCTGTGAAGAACTTAACACCAGGTAGATCACAGATGGGGAGAGCGGGGAGGCCCTGGGGACAGGGTCCCTCCCTAGCAGAGGACAGGATGACCTGAAGTCTGAGGGAGGTTGGTATTCTACACAGAAGGACCAGCACCTGCCCAGGCTGTAGGCAGAACAGGAGAGGTGAGTGCAAGGGATGAGGCCCTGGACCAAGCCAGGCCTGAAGGCCGTGCAAAGGGACAGGACGGCATTCTCAGGGAAGTGGGAACTGTCGAGGGTTTGAAGCAGGGCTGTGACATGGTCCGATGTCAGTGACTTCATCACACAGTCCCTGAGCCTACCACACAATAAAATCGATACTGCACCAGGTGCCGGGTGGCTCACGCCTGTCATGCTAGCTACTCAGGAGGCTGAGACTCTTATCTCCAATTCACCACCAGAAAACTGGAAGGGGTGCTCAAGTGGCTCAAGTGGTAGAGCGTTTGCCTTGAGCTGAAGAGCTCAGGGACAGCGCCCAGGCCCAGAGTTCAAGACCTATGACCAACCTCTCCCCTCCCCCCCAAAAAATGGATATTGCAAAGAAGGCTCAGGTACAGGCCTGGCTTGCTGGGAACTCATAGCTCGAGGGCCTCACGAAGCTAGCAGTGCCCTCTCCCCTCTGCCCTGTGTGTGAATGGTGCCCTTAGTGGGCTGCCTTTCTGCAGAAGGCCTTGAACAGGAGGGGCCCAGGAACCGGGAGGGAGATGTAACTGAGGGAGGCCTGGCTCAGGAGTGAATGCAGGCAGCATGGAAGGAGGGGACAGGGAACTAGAGGCCGGACGGCACACAGCCCGACTCATTACATAAGTGACAGTGGCACCTCACTGTCGATTTGATTTGCTTCTCTCTGGCCATGGCATTCATTTTTGCCTTGTAAAAGGTTGCACAGGTCATTTTTGTGTCTTTTTTTTTTTTTAACCAACTATCTCAGTTCATTTGCCTATATATTTATCATTTGATTGCTTATCTTGTTGAGTTGCTGGCACTCTTTACATAGGGAGGCTCCTAACGTGCACCCCTGGAGGGCTAGGACTGTATCTGAGTCACACAGGAGTGCCAGGTGCTAGGAAGCGGGGCCCAGCACCTAGCAGCAAGTGGTGGGGGGCAGATGAGCATGCGCACCCCAGTTTCGGCCTCATCCGTCTGCATGGGGACCCTGAGCTGAAGTAACACTGCCTGGTGTTGCGTTGACACCTAGATTTTGGCCGAGGACAAGTACGAGATTTCCTCTGACCCGGAAGACAATGTGGTCATCTCCTCCTGCGAGGAGCCCAGGATACAAGTCACCGTGTCCATCACTTCGACCCTGATGCGTGAAGACCCTTCTGCCAACCAAGGTGCACCCCACACACACCTCCCCATCCCCCTCTGCCCCAGTACAAGGGCCTGGAACCACTTCTGCCTCCATCCTGGAAGGATGTCACCACAGCAGCCTTCCAGGACCTTTGTGTCCCCGGGGCCTCCCCCACACCTCCTGCCTCAGTCTCCCTCAGTGCTGAGACGACCAGCATGCATCCCTGCACCCAATAACGGGAGAGGCGGGGGGACGGGGCCACAGTTCTCCCAGAGCCTACAAGGACAGCAACGCATTGCGGTCACCCATATCCTCCATCCAGTGCCACGATGCTCTTGGAACTTTCTAGAAGTCAGGCCACATCCAGGGTTTCACACTTCCACGTTCCCTGCACTGCAGGGGATTCCCCCCCCCCCCGCCTCCATGTGCACACACACACACACACACACACACACACACACTGCTTCTATCAGGAGCTCTGGCCCTACCATGAGGGTTCACGGTGACAGGTCAAGATCAAGTGTCCCCAGATCCCAGAGCTGCCCTCCCCCAGGCTGGAACGGAGAAGGTTGGGCGCCCTCCCCCCTCTCCAGCACCTGCGGGCCTCCCTGCCTACTCCCTTCCACTTCTAGAAGGAGTGGAGGATCCTCAGGATGAGCCGGACGACATCCTGAGTCAGGAGAGATGCCTGGAGTCTCTGGCTGCCCTCCGCCACGCCAAGTGGTTCCAGGTGAGAGGTGAAGGGGAGACTGCCCCCCCGCAAAAAAAATAAAACCACACTCCAGGCGGCCCCTGCCTTGGCCTGGACCCTGAGCGCCGCTGTCTGCTCATTTGGCCGGAAGTGGTTGCTGAGAGCAGTCACCTGACATTGTGACTTTGGTCCTTGCTGGACTGCGTGACACACGAAGCGGTGGGGGCCACCGCTGGCCAGCAACCTGAGGCTCACCCGGCCGGTGACCCTCTCCCCTCTTGTCCTCTCCCCCGCAGGCTTCCCCCTCAGATCAGGGCCAGCTGCCCCCCTGGAGGGAGGGAGCCCTGAGTCCGTGCCCAGCAGCTAACCCTGAGCTTCCTCTCCCCCTGCAGGCCAGAGCCAGCGGCCTGCAGCCCTGTGTCATCGTCATCCGCGTCCTGCGGGACCTGTGCCGGCGCTTGCCCACCTGGGCAGCCCTGCCAGCCTGGGTAAGGCAGCTGGGGAGGCTCAGAACCCCTTCCCCCCCAAAAAAGAGGACCCCCACACACAAGGGACTGACTCCCGAGCTGAACTCCCTGTCCCTCTATTCCTGTGGGGCCGGCGTGAGCTGTAGCAGGGAAGGTGACTGAGGGTGAGGGAGTCCCCAAGGCCCTGGGGGTGGGAGGGGGGGGACAGAGAGAGCCTTGGGCCCCCCCCAAGCCTCGTCTGACCGTCATTGTCCCAAACCCCAAGCTTGTGATGAGCATGGGCCGCCGTGTAAATAAACACAGGTGAACTCATTATCTTGCCCATGTAATTGTAACCCCTCTGTACAGTATGTTCACAATAAAAATTAAAAAAATAAGCACAGGTGAGCAGGGAGGTGACACGCAGGCGTCGGGGCGCTGGGCCACAGCCACAAAGGGGGTCCTGCGGCCCTAACACCCCCTACTCCATCCACCCCTCGCTGGCATCCACCCTCCTGCCCAAAGCCCGGCTGCTAGGCCAGGGTCTGAGAGACTGTCCAGGCCCGGGGAAAACACCTAGTCCACCCTGTGGAGGGCACAGTGGCCATGTCACGTGCTGTCACCAGGGTCCTGCCCCCCACACACACACACTTAGGTCCCCGGGGGCCACCTCCACACCCATCCCCACCCCAGCAGGGGGGGAGCCTCTGAGGGTGGCAGGAGGGAAGAGAGAAACCCAAAGGGGCCTCGTGCCCCAAGACCCCTGGACTCCCCCCCCAACCCCTGCCTCCAAGCATCTCCCCCTCCCCCGTGTCCTCCACCCCCTGCCAGGCCATGGAACTGCTGGTGGAGAAGGCCCTGAGCAGCGCCGCCAAGCCCCTGAGCCCTGGGGACGCCGTGCGGCGGGTCCTGGAATGTGTGGCCACAGGCACGCTCCTGCCAGGTCAGTGCCCACCAAAGAGGGGAGGGCTGGGGGCGGGACCTCATGGGGGTGGGGCGGGGCTCGCTGTGGACATGCCCACTGGTGGGGCGGGACTGCAAGCGGCCGGACTGGGACTCTGCCCTGTGCCCCCCCTCCCCTGCCCCCCCTGCCCTCAGCACTGAGCACCTGTCTTTTTGGACAGTGGCCAGCTAGTGGCCCGATTCAAATTTATTTGAATAAATAGGCTATTTTTTCCCCAGGGAAATAAGCTGAAGTCAGACATAGGTTAGGTCCAGTGGATTGGGGAAGGAGGAGGAGGGGAGACGGGTCACAGGTGCCCTGGGCAGAGTGCAGACTCTTCCTCCCCCCTGGACCAGAGCTCCCCTGGTGGGGAAGAGCAGCCTCGCCCCGTCCCACCACTGGGCACCCCCACAGGCGTCCTCGACCCGTTCTGAGCCCGCTCTTCCCTCCCACAGGTGGGCCGGGGATCCAGGACCCCTGTGAGAAAGACCAGACGGACGCCCTGGAGTCCATGACTCCCCAGCAGCGGGAAGATGTGACGGCCAGTGCCCAGGTACGAGCACCAGGCCAGGGCAGGATGAGCCACGCAGCAGCCCTCCAGGGTCTGCTCCCAGCTCTGGGCTGGGCCGGCTGCTCAGGGCCACGGCTGGCCGTGGCAGGGATGAGTCCCAGACCCTGAGGTTCTGCTAGTGTGACCATTCCAGTTGACTGACTATCCACAAGACCCAAAACACTGCCCCCTCGGTGGGCGGCACGCCTGTAATCCCAGCAGTCCGGAGGCCCTGGCCGGAGGACCGTGAGTTCCAGGCCAGCCTAGGCTACACAGCGAGACCCTCTTCCAGCCACACACACACAACACTCCCCCCCACACACACCCCTTTCTCATAGGATGCAAACTGCTCCAGTGCAGGGTTCGAGCCTGGGCTCTGAGGGACCCCATGGCAGCCCCGCTGCCAGCCAGTGCCAAGCCACGCCCCCATGCCATTGGGTCCCTGGGGCACAGAGCTGGGCATCACAGAATGTGGGCACAGCCAGTCCATCTTGGTCTGGAGTGAGATTTCAGGCAATACGTGAAACACGGTGAGAACGAAGTAATAGAACAGAAAGGGGCTTCACAGGTGACTGTGGGTGATCGCAGAAAGAAAGGTCCCCAATGATGGCCACCCAACACAGATGGGTGTGTGTGTGTGCACGTGCCTGCGCACATGCACATGAGCACATACTGAGACTTAAACTCATGGCTTGTCCCTTGAGCACTGTCCCTGAGCTTTTTTTTTTTTTTTTTTTTTGGCCAAGACTGGCACGCTACTGCTTGAACCACACCTTCACTTCCAGCTTTTTGATGGTTAATTGGAAATGAGTCTCATAGACTTTCCCGCCTGGGCTGGCTTCAAACCTCCATCCTCCAGATCTCAGCCTCCTGAGTAGCCAGGATTACAGGTGTAAGCCACCGCCACCCAGCTCCAGCACACGTTGTTGTTGAGCTTTAGGGTTCTTAGAGCCTCAGGTCCTCCCCAGGACCAGCCCACGGGGCAGTGATCTGCACGGTACAGAGGAATTCCCCCACAGGCCACAATCCTTCTAGGCATGTGTTACCCATGATCACTTAAGAAGCACTCAGAGAGAGGGCAGGCAGCTGCTTTCTACCTGTGAGGCAGAGATCAGGAGGATTGGGTTTAAAGGCCAGCCAGTGAAAAAGTTGATAAAAGAGTCCATCTGAACCAATGCGCTGGGCATGTTGGCGTGAGTCTGTGATTCCAGCTGTGCAGGAAGTATACACAGGATCATGGCAGTCCCAGTCTAGCTCAGGCAAAAACTTGAGATGACTCCAAAAACTAACTAAAAACGTAAAAGGCTGGGGTTGTGGCTCAAGTAGAAGAGTGCCTGCCTAGCAAGTGCTCCGAGTTCAAACCCTGCTACCACCAAAAAAGAAAAGTACACGACCAATTGATTGATGGATCGATTTTTGCCGATGCTGGGCCTTGAACTCCGGACCTGGGCGCTGTCCCTGAACTGCTTTTGCTCAAGGTTAGCGCTCTACCATGTGAGCCACAGCGCCACCTCTGGCTTTTTTTTTTGAGTAGTTTATTGGAGATGAGTCTTATGAGGACTTTCCTGCCTGGGCTGGCTTTGAACCGCGATCCTCCCATCTCAGCCTCTTGAGGAGCTAGGATGACAGGCTCCCCGCTTGTGTCTAATGCCCCGTGTCGTGGCCCGCAGCACGCCCTGCGCATGGTGGCATTCCGGCAGATCCACAAGGTGCTGGGCATGGACCGCCTGCCAGCCCGAAGCCGGCTGGGGGCACGCGGGCGGAAGAGGCCAAGAGAGGCGGTGCAGGCCCCGGGCGTCTCCGGTGAGAGGAAGCGGGGCCGGAAGGGGGGCGAGGGGCCTGTGTGAGCCCCGCCCGCCCTCGGCGGCTTTGGCGCGTCTCCACCCAGGCAGCCGGGCACACGGGTGTGCCCGCCACCTGCCTCCGCCCCCCACCCCCCACCCCGGCATCAAGTGGTGGCATTGTCCTTCCAGTCGTGTTCTGTAGATTCTTGTCACACATTGTGCTTCACTTGCTAGAGAAGTCACGGCCCCCTCTCCCCCCCAGTACAAGGAACCACCCTTGGCCCTGTCCCCCCACCCCGCCAGGCAGCCCCCAACCTGCTACTTCCGCTGGCTTTCAACCCGCCCCGTGGTGTTCTGTGCAGTGTGTGGCCTCCCCCGTCCCCCCAGTTCTGCCTGCCCCTCAGACGAGACCCACAAGCCTGTCCTGAGCCCAGGGGCGTGGACGCAGGCCCTGGAGAGCAGAGAAGGGGCCTGGGGAGAGGTCCCCCAGGCCAGCGGCACGTGGGGACGCCAGCACGAGAGCACCCCGGGCAGGACACCCCTCACCCTCAGCCACTACCCCCCAAAAGTAATGCTGGCTGTTCCCACCCCCAGTGCTGTGATCCCCCACAGTGGAACCCCAGCCCGAGACCCCCTCCCCCCTTCCCCCCCACACACCTGAGTGCCTTCCGCAGAGAGGGCCACTCGGTGGTGGTGAGCTGTGCCGGGCTGGGGCAAGTGCACCCCACGTTCCCCCTCGCAGAAGCAGGGCCTGGCCCCCACCCCACCCGCCCCCCACCCCTCTTCTTCCTTCACAATGACATGGGAGAGAAGAGGCTTGGACCTCCAGCCCCCCATGAGCATTGACGCTGCTGACTCCATTGCTCTGGACACAGGCTGGCTTTGCGTGTGGTGTTGCATCTGGTCATCTGTGTAAAGCCACCAGACATGAAGGAAACACGGGGAATAAAGGAGAGGCGCTTGTGTGCTGTGTGGCCCGGGTTGTCTTTTTCACCACCGCCCTGGGGGGGAGCAGGCTGGGCACCCCAAGGGCCCAAGCTGCCCAGTGGCTGATTCCCACCCCACACACACACACACACACACACACACACACAGCCTGGGCTCCCTCAGGGGACCGCGGTGAACACTCCAGAAGCAATCATCAGGGGCTGGGAAGGTGGCTCAGCGGTAGAGTGCTTGCCTAGCATGCATGAAGCCCTGGGTTCGATTCCTCAGTACCACAGAAACAGAAAAAGCCGGAAGTGGCGCTGTGGCTCAAGTGGTAGAGCGCTAGCCTTGAGCAAAAGAAGCTCAGGGACAGCGCCTAGGCTTAGTTCAAGCCCCAGGGAAGTAGAAAAGAGAGAGAGAAAGAGGAAGGAAGGGAGGAAGGAAGGAGAGGAGGAAGAGGAGGAGACGACGATGACAACGTCATCTGAACATCACACACACAGGAGCATTCAGGCTTGGGGAGCTGCCATGGGGGGAGGGGGGGACACAGCCATAACATAATGAAGGACCCGGGTCCGCAGAGGCTTCCTTCAGGCCCTGGATCCTGACCAGAAACGTCAGAGTAGTGCAGAGAGGTCACAACGGCCACGTTCAGGACCCCCCTCGAGCCTCGGGGCCCCCTCAGGCTGTCGGGGGAGGGCAGAGAGGGCACAGTGGGCAGGCATCCTGAGCACAGAGCCCAACCTCCCCCCCATCCCACGGGGGTCACAGTCACCACCTGCCGCCCAGCTGATCCCCACCCCCACGCCCAGACCCCCCTGGACTCCTTCACCATCATAACTCACTGGCCAGGAAACCCTCCTGGGTTCCTTTGTCTTCATCCTAGTCAACCCCCTTGAGGGACCCACTGCACTCAGGATGAGACCCCCCACCCCAGTCCAAACAAGGCTCCCACTGGTGCCTCCCTGTGCTTCAAATCTCCACCAGGTGGACCACAGCTCTTTACCCATCTTGGATGAGCCAGGCCAGGCCCCAGGGCCTTGGCACCTGCTGTTCCCTTGCACTGGTCAGCTTCCCCTCTCCCCCACCACACACACACTGCTGTTGCCGCCATCCTCACTCCAGTGTCACCTGCTCAGAAACCCCCCCACACCCCCACCCTTCATGTGACCCTGTGGGCTGTCTTCACACCAGACATGAACGGAAGGACACTGTGGCGGGAAACGCTTCTGCCTGTCTGACCCATGTAGGCCCAGGGTCTAAAGCAGACCTGGAACTGATGAATAACTCTCCAATCAGGGCTTAAACAGCCAGAGATGTGTCCCCCCCCCATACACACACACGCCCTCAGCAATCATGTGAACCTCTCTCTGAGGCGGGGAGGGAGGGCGGGGTCACAGTGGCTACTGGACGGCAGGCTCCGCGGTCAGTGGCAACTTGAAGAGCAGAGAGCCCGGCTGCCTGACCACAAACAGCCTCAACCTCCCCCCACACACAGCAACCCCCCACCCCACCCCCGCCCGGTGACAAAGTGTTAACCGGGCCCGCCTAGCGACTCCAGACGCCTAAACTCTCAGCAGCGGCTTAGCGAAAGGCTTGGGTCCAGACGGGCACTTTGTCAGGCCATGGGGCTCACTGAAGGCCTAAAGCACCATCGCATCTGACCTTCCCCTCCCATCCCCCTGCCTGCCCCCCAGTCAGTCCTCCTCACATGGGGCAGGGGACCCCAGAGCAGGAAGGACTAGAAGCCAGCCTGCGGGGGGGGGGGGGGGGGGGGGAGGGGGGAGGGGGGTGCGGCAGCATAGAAGCATCCTGGAGGAGGCAGAGCCTGGACCAGGCTGCGGATGCAGGCGGCCTGTTGCTAGGAGACGGTGAGTAAGGGGAGGGAGGGGGATGATGCACGTGTGGGCGGGGCCAAGGATGGGAATAGAGGAAGGACAGGTCTGGGGCTCCCGTCTCCAAGGTCATCCACACAGCACAGGAAGTCACTGGGACCAATCACTGCAGTCTGCCCCCACCCCCAAGTGTGGGCAGAAATAAGTCCCAGGCGGGCATTCAGGAAAACCTCCCAGCAATCGTGTCTGCCTACCCCCCCCCCCCCGCCATAACTGCATCCATTCTCTGGTTGCCCTCTGGGGTTTTGGATTGTAAGGCCCATCCAATTTTTCAGTAAAGCCTAGTGGTTCGCTCACACTACTAGAGTCTCCCATGAAAATAGAAAAGACAGTGCTAGGAGTTGAAATCCTGGACACTAGCATCTGCCACGGTTTTTTTTTTTTTTAATGAGCAAAGTTGGAAACAGACTCTTGCACATCCATGTTCACAGCAGCCAAAAAGTGGAAACAGCCCAAGTGCCCTCTCTGGGTGGGTGAACGGAGACAAACACCATGGCCTGTCCATACAGTGGAATACTAGGCAGCCATGCAAAAGGAATAATGACAGCACCAGCTGCAGCATGGAGGGACCTTGAGGACACGGTGCTCAGCCGGTACAGCACACGCACTGGAGGACTCCACCCCAGGAGCTCCCAGCTCCAAAGACAGGGAGCAGGACGGGAGCAGGGGAATGAGAGAGCTGGCGAGCTGGCCTTGATGGGGGAATGAATTCAGTGTGGGCCAAGGGAAAGTCGAGGGAGTGGCCACGGCATGGCCACGTGAGTGGGCTCAATATTACTGAATTAACATGGCTGGAGCCAGGAGTGGTCAGTTTTGTGTCCATTATCTCATACACACACACACTCACAAAAAAAAATCTGAGCAGGGCAACAGTGGCTCATGCCTTGTAATGCTAACCATTCAGGAAGCTGAGATCTGAGGATCAAAGCATCGAGGTTCGAAGCTGGCTCAGGCAGGAAAGAGACTATGAGACTTCAATTAACCACAAAAAAGAAAAAACCTTGCAAGGGCTCTAGCCTTGAGAAGAAAAAGAAAGAGAAAGAAAGAAAGAAAAGGAAGGAAGGAAAAGGGAAGGAGGGAGAGGAAGGAAGGAAGGAAGGAAGGAAAAGAAAGAAAGAGCCCAGAAACAAATATCTAGGCCCTAAGATCAAGCCCTAGAACCAACATCAGAAGAAGTGGGGGGGGGGGGAAGGAGGAGGAGGAGGAGGAGGAAGACAAGCCAGAAGCTGTCCCTTCACACAGCCACACACTTAGTCTGTAGCCTGGCCCTTGAACATATTAGCAGTGAGTGTGTGGGCAAATTCCCTTCCCCTCTGACTCTAAACTTCTTCAAACTTGGGGTGAAGCCAGTTCCCTGACCTTGTGGGGTGGGGAGGGGAGACTTTGGCAACAAGGTGCGCTTCCAAATACTCCCCGCTCAGAAAGGTGGGTCTGGCGTTCAGGCAGGAGCAGGGCCGGCCAGCAGCATGGAAGGCAGAGCTGGGGGTGCCACAGTGGTAGGGCCCCTGCCCCGGTGTGCCAGGCCCTGCACCAACGGGAAAAGTTAAAAATCAGAAAAAGGAGCCTGAATAACACTATATTTCTCTCTTGCTGCTTTGTAATTCCCACACACACACACACACACAATTTCAAGGCACAGAAATATTTCTTATAGCTTTAATAATGAGGGAGAATAACAATCAATGTATTAAACATGGGAAAAAAGAAAAAGGAGACAGGTACCTGTGGCTCAGGCCTGTCATTGTAGCTACTCAGGAGGCTGCGATCTAAGGATCACGGTTCAAAACCAGCCTGGGCAAGAAAGTCCATGAGACTCTGATCTCCAATAAACCACCAGAAGATCGGTAGTGGTGCTGTGGCTTAAGTGGTAGAGCACTCGCCTTGAGCTGAGATGCTCAGGGACAGTGCCCAGGCCCAGAGTTCAAGCCCCCCAAGTGACAAAAAAAAAAAGTAGGCAAGGTAATGCAAGCCTCCTAGCTACTTGGGAGGGAAAGATGGAAGGTTCCAGTTCAAAGCCAGCCGAGGCAGTAAAGTTTACCAGACTCCATCTCAGACATTGGATGGAGTGCCCCACCTGCCATCCCCAGCAGCACAGGGAAGCACAAATAGAAGACTGAAGCCCAGGCTGGCCCATGCTTGTAAAGCCCTACCTCAAAAGTAACCAATGCGGGCTGGGAAGGTGGCTCAGTGGTAGAATGGTTGCTTAGCATGCATGAAGCCCCAGGTTCGATTCCTCAGTTCCACTAACAGCAAAAGCTGAAAGTGGCACTGTAACTCAAGTGGTAGAGTACAAAAGAAGCTCAGGGACAGCGCCCAGGCCCTGAGTTCAAGCCCCTAGAACCGACAAAATAAAAATAGAAAGATAGGTCACAGGCAATGGCTCCGGTGATGGTGAGTAGTGACCACAGGAAAGTGGTCAGGAAAGATCTCTTAAACAAGCTAAGACTATGATGAAGTTGCTGGCTTTGAGAAGAGCTGGGGCAAGTACACATAGGAGGAAGGCACCGCATGTGCAAAGGCCCTGGGGCTGGGCCCTACCTGGAGCATTTGAGGGGAAAACAAGATGGAAGCCTGTGAGTCAGGAGCAAAAGAGAGGTGGAAAGTGGAGGCAGCCAGGAGCAGGAGGAACTGGGGGGTGAGTGGGATACATAATGAGCCCCAGTCCAGAGCTAGCCGGGTCCTAAGCTAGAAATCATTGAGATCAAAAGTACAGCCATAGCAGACAGCTCTTGCCTGGGCTACTTTTGAACCACAATCCTCAGATCCCCATCTTAAAAAAAAAAACTCAGACCACAGCTGGGTTGCAAACAAACAAGGCTGCATTTTCCTGGAAAGAGCCAGAGCCGCTTCCTGGATCGGGAGTCCCCTGGCCTGGGAAGAGCAGCTAAATTTAAAGGCGCGCTAACTGGGGCACACAGATCCAGAGGAGCTGGAGCAAAGTCTCGGCTTTCAACAAACCACTCCACCAGCTGTGGCCACCCCGCCCCGCCCTCCAGGTTCAGAAAGCTTCCTCTGCCAGCCCAGGTGGCTCACGCCTGTAATCCCAGCTATTCAAGAAGCTGAGATCTGAGGATGGCCCTTGGAAGCCCGCCGGAGCTGGGAGCAGTGGGTCACCAGGGCAACGCACTGTCGGGGTCCAAGGCAGATCTGTGGCCACCAGACTCCTCCCAGAGGAGTCACCTGACTCAGCAAACAAAATAGACTTTCCACTGGGAACCGGAGACACTGGAGCCCTGGTCCTCCTGGCTGAGTCTGGGGCAATCCTAGTGGTGGTTTGTTTTCTGTGGGTTTTGGTGTTTTTCCTGGTGTACTTTGATTTGAACTCAGGGCCTCATACTTGTGAGACTGAGTCTCACACTCAATTCTCTTGAGCCAGGCCCTGAGTCCTCTCACTTTCAGTTTGTTTGTTTTCCAAGTCAGATCTCACTCTTTTGCCTGGCACCAAAGATATTACTTGGGGGGCGGGGAGAGGCTTTTGATCCCAAAAGCTGGAAACTCAGGCCTGAAAAGGATTAAAAAAACAAAAACAAAAAACAGCTGTTTTTTCCAAATTAGACATGGCAAGAACTTGGGATGTTTGGGGCTGGGAAGGTGGCTCAGTGGTAGAGTGCTTGCCTTGCATGCACAAGGCCCTGGGTTCCATTCCTCAGCACTACATAAGCAGAAAAGGCCAGAAGTGGTGCTGTGGCTCCAAGCAGTAGAGCGCTGGCCTTGAGCTGAAGAGTTGAGGGACAGCGCCCAGGCCCTGAATTCAGGCCCCACAACCAACAACAACAACAAAAACTCTGAATGTTTGGTGGGAGCAGGAAACGGAGGCCACACTGAAGAGCCCCCCCCTCCCTGAGCCTGTCACACTCCATCCCACAGGCACTGGGGGGGTGGGGACAAGGGGAGGTGACAGAAGGATCTAGAGTGCGGGGAGGGGGAGCTGCAGTCCCACTGCATCTCTTGGTTGTGTAGACCAGGGGATGAACTGCTGGGTTGGGAACCGGCCGTACAGTTCCTTAGGCATGGCTGCATAGTATTCCGTGTTCCATCACAGGATGTTGTGCGGTTCCCCTAACTGGCCTCTGTGTCCAAAAGCCAAGCAATGGGGGGGGAGGGGGGGGCCCTGGTCCCCGGTCACCTTCCTCTATGCCCCCTGACAATTCTCCATCACCAATCCGGTGAACCCTGGTGGACTGATGGTGGGCAAGGCCACCGAATGGGAGCAAAGTACTTGTTGCTGAGAAGGAACACGGCCCCACGCGCGCCTGCGGAGAGCGGTGGAGCTGACGCCTCTCTTCCCATCCCCTCAAGGAAGCGGGGAGGGGGCTTCTAGCTCCCAGCTCTCCAAAAGCTTTCCGCTCACAGGGTGGATGAGGATGGTGATCATGGGTGATGATGGTACTCATGGAGTGTGTGTGTGTGTGTGTGTGTGTGTTCAAGCCAATCCTGGGGCTTGAGCCCACAGCCTGGGCGCTGTCCCTGAGCTTTTGTGCCCAAGGCTGGCACTCTACCACTTGGGCCACAGCGCCACTTCCGGTTTTCTGGTGGTTCATTGGCGATCAGAGTCTCCCGGGCTTTCCCCCCTGGGCTGGCTTTGAACCGCGACCCTCAGGTCTCAGAACTTGGACTGAGCGGAGCCTGGAGCTGGAACCACAGAGCCAGCTGGGGGCTCGTCGTCCGGTCTCTGCTCTTGTTTACCTCCCCCTAAGGGCAGCTCTCTCCCACCCTGACCCCCCTCCCCGCACGCGCACGCGCACGCGCCATTCCCGCACCACCCGGCCCCATTTCCCAGCCTGGGGAGACAAACGGTTCCCCAAATCAGCCATCCAGGTGGACCCCATGGCGAGGGGGACGGGGGAGCGCCCAGGACCCCCCCGGGGCTGCGGGAGGCGCCGGCACCGCGGGGGACGGAGGCCGGCTGGCTGCGGGAGCGCGCACGGGGGCGGGGGCGCGCACGGAGCCGACCGCAGTGCGGCCGGCGCTAGGACCCGGGTGGGGGGCGGGGTGGGTTCCCGGGGCGGCCGCGCCTGCCGCTCCCCCTTCCCGGCCATCCCCCCTCCACCCCCAAAATGAGGAAACGGATCAACTTGCTCCGAGTTGCGCCGCCCAGGCCGCCTCGGGGTGCGCAGCCGGCTCGCGGGGGGCCCTCCTGGGGGCGGGCGCGGGGCGCAGCCCGGGGGCGCGCCCGGACCAGGTGAGCGCGCGTCCGCCGGATGGGATGGAGAAACCCCCAAAGCGGGTATGGAGCCTCGGCTCCTCCGTCCCAGGACTCTGGGAGGGGGGGAGGTGAACCCCAGGACGTGAGCTGGAGGGGCGCGCGCGCGGCCCCGGGGGCGGCGGGCCGGGGACGTGGGGTGGATACGTTTTTCTGGGTGCGGCGCGCCGGGCTGGGAGCCCCGGGAGTGCGGGAGTGCGCGGGCTCGGGGCTGCGCGGGCGCGGCCTGCGGGTGGCTGGGCGCGCGCCCGGGGAGGGGCGAGATTTCCCCCCCAGCACACCCCACACCCCGCGTCTGCGCCCAGGTGTGCAAGTGTCGGTCCGTGTGCGTGACGGGGGCGCCGAGCGCGCGCGCACACACACACACACACACACACACACGTGTGGACGCCGCACACCTGTCCCCAGGTGGTCGTGGAGACGGTTTCCTGCGGGTGCTGTGTGTACGTTACTCGTATGGTGGGGGGAGCACCCCCAATCTCCAATGCCCAGACACCAGCGCTGGGGACCGGCGAGAAGCCAGGGCGCCCACCCCCAACCCCCGGCAGCAATGAAGGACTCGGGGTGTCTGTCCCTGTCCCTGGTTGGGTAATGGGGGGTGGGGAACGGACTCGGGGTGACCCCGGAGGTGGCAGGGCCGCATGGCCTCCCCATCCACCCCAGGGACAGGTTCCTGGGAATGTCTGACTCCTCTGCGTGTCCTGCCCCTGTCCCTGCCCTGGGAACGGAAAAAGAGGAAGAAGCCGGCCCGGGTGGAGTGACGCGTCACTCTCCACACACGCTGGCCAGGCTGTGGGGCCTCAGTCACCCCGCGGTCTTTCCTGTGCCTCAACTTCCCTTCGGGGTAATGGCGGGGCGGGGATGGGGAGTGGCGGGCCACTCCGTGGCTGGCATTTTAACAGCTGATCCTCAGCTAAGGCTCTTCCTCCATAGGAGCTGCAGGAAGCTAGCACCTGGGCTCCCCCCTGGGATGACTTGGGGGGCGGGGGGAGGGGGAGGACGACTCTCGGCCTCCTGACTGTGCCAGCCCCCTGCTGAGAGCCTGGGATGACATGACCAGGGTGGTGCACCCCACCCTAGCCGGAATCTAGGCTAACTCTGGCACGTCTCCAGGTGAGCCCTCATTTCCGACCAGCCTGGCACCCCTGTCCACCGCAGCCAGGATGCCAACGGTGAGTAGCCCCAGCGTGGGGGCCTCTCACCCTAAGCCCTGCCTCAACTCAGTCCCCACAGACCACCCCCCTCCTCCACCCCACCCCCCAATCTGATGGATGCTCGCGGTCTGTGAGCTCCCAGGGCCCCGGGCAGCTCCGCTGGTCACTGACCTAACGCAGCCCCCGTCCCCCTGGACCACCCCTGGCTTCTGTGCTGTCCCCAACCCCTCCTCCCCCCCTCGTCCATCCAAGGACCATTTCCAGCCTTCTCTTGTCCCCTCTGCTCTCCCCACTTCTCCCCTGATGTCCCCCCACCCCCACAGAGGCGCTGGGCCCCCGGCACCCAATGCATCACCAAGTGTGAGCACACGCGCCCCAAGCCCGGGGAGCTGGCCTTCCACAAGGGCGACGTGGTCACCATCCTGGAGGCCTGCGAGGTGAGCCAGGCTGAAAGGGCGCCTTTGGGGGCGCAGGGAGGGGAGAGGAGCTACGGGGCGCGCCGCCAGGACCAGCAGCAGCCTCGACCCTGCCCACCTGTGCCCTTCCCGGACAGAACAAGAGCTGGTACCGAGCTAAGCACCACGCCAGCGGGCAGGAGGGGCTGCTGGCGGCCGGGGCGCTGCGGGAGCGCGAGGCCCTCTCCGCGGACCCCAAGCTCAGCCTCATGCCGTGAGTGATGGCTGGCCCCCCGTGGGGGGGTCGTGTCCCCATCCCCTATATCCAGGCCCACGCAGCCCCTCCTGTTCCTCTACACACACACACACACACACACACACACACACACACACGCCCCGGCAGGTGGTTCCACGGGAAGATCTCCGGCCAGGAGGCCGTGCAGCAGCTGCAGCCGCCCGAGGACGGGCTGTTCCTGGTGCGGGAATCGGCGCGCCATCCCGGGGACTACGTGCTGTGCGTGAGCTTCGGCCGCGACGTCATCCACTACCGCGTGCTGCACCGCGACGGCCACCTCACCATCGACGAGGCCGTGTGCTTCTGCAACCTCATGGACATGGTGGAGGTGGCCTGGCGGGGACACGGGGCGGGGGGGGGAGGTTGGAGCCCCTGGGTGGGGTCCCCAGCGTGGCATCTTCTGTGACCAGTGGCCTGAGCCATCCCGATGTTACACCCAGAACTGGGGTGACTCCCCTGGGGACCACCAGACAGTTCCAGACAGTTGACAGCAATCCCAAGTCCAGCCAGTCCTGCCAACAGCATCCTGCATCCTTTCCTGTTGCTATAGAAACCAGCCCACCTTGGCAAGGGATCCAACCCATCTCCTCCCAGACCCCCTCGCTCCCCACCCAGAGGTCATCAGGAAGGGAGAGGGGTTGAGGGGGACAAGGGGGGTCCTTGAGCTTGGATCGGGACCCCTGCGTGTGCTACAGCATTACAGCAAGGACAAGGGACCCATCTGCACCAAGCTCGTGAAGCCCAAGAGGAAGCAAGGCACCAAGTCCGCGGAGGAGGAGCTGGCCAAGGGTAGGCCGCCCTCAGCCCCGGCCCCGCCCAATCCACGGCCACGCCCCCAACCCACCCATGTCCCCAGCCACGCCACTCCCTGGCCACGCCCCCAGGCCAGCCACGCCCCCTGAATAGCCATGCCCCGCCCCTCCCCTGAATAGCTACGCCCCCCCGTATCACCGATGAGCAGGCCCCGCCCAGGCCCCGCCCATTCCTGGTCCTAGCGCAGCTTGGCCCTTTGCCTGGATCCCTGGGAGACACACAGGAAGTCCAGGATAGCCTTGGGTCCAGGATCCCCACCCCTGCTCGTCCATCACCCACCCCCATAAACACCAGAGCCAGAAAATATGCGTGGGAACTTCGGCCCACCTCCTTCTCTCACTTTCCTTGCAAGGCTAGGCTCCCAATGCCACATAGAAGTTCCAGAATCCCTTCCCTCCTCAGGCCCACGCCTGTCCAGCCCAGCCCCTTCATGGAGTCCTAAAATGCCTTTCTATTGCACAAACCCACACTTCATCCCATCCTCCACCCCCTTGGGTACGAATGGAGACAAGCCCCGTACCTTCCAGAGCCTCCCCACACGGCCGGAACTACATTCTAGGCTGGTCCGCAGAACCTTTCCCCCACACACCCCTTCCTAAGTCAAGCCTGTGTACTCCTCAATCATCTCCAGCCTCTGTGCCATCGTGCATTCTGTTCCCTTCACCGATAATGCTATTCCAGCCCTCAAGCAGCAAAACCCTCACTGTCCAAGAGCAAAGAACAAAGGCCTCCCCTTCACACCCAGGCCACCCCATTGGTCTGTCTCCCTGGAAGTGCCTGTGGAGTCCCAGGGGACTCCAATGTCGGGGTGGACCCAGTTGTCCATCCTAATTGTACCTTCAGAGGTGGGGATGTGAGGGGGCTTGGGGGGGGGGGGTGTTGGAGGAGAGGAGTGGACCTGCAGAGGCAACTTCAGAATGCAAAGAGAAGCATGCAGGACTCATTGGGAAAAGAAGTCAGGGAGGCCAGAGCCCTGGGAAATTCTGAAATCTTTCCTGGAAGCTTCTAGAAGCTTTAGGCATCTTTGTTGTGGGTTTTTTTTCCCCCTCTCTATTGCATAGTTGTATATGTGTGTGCCAGTACTGAGGATCGTCCCTTAACATTTTTGCTCAAGGCTGGTACTCTATCGCTTGAACCACAGCTCCACTTCTCACTTTTTTTGCTGGCTAATTAGAGATGAAAGTCTCTGGGCTTTCCTGCCTGGGCTGGTTTCAAACCATGATCCTCAGATCTCAGTCTCCGAGGTACTAGGATGACAGGGGTGAACCACTGTGCCCGGCTTATTCCATTGCACGTTTGTTGTGTGTTCCTGGGCCATCAGAGGCCGTGGATGGTGCGGGTGACGTGTCGGGTGTTGGGAGGGGCAGGGAAGGCCTGGACATCCCTGATGCTTGCATGGTTTCCGAGCCTGAGGCTGGAGCCAGGGTTAGGGTCTGCCCAAATCAGGGCATTCTGGCACTCCCAATCCTGTCACGCTCTTTAGGGAGTGTGTCCTGGTTTTGGGGGTGCAGAGGGGCGTGGTGAGGACTTTGGGGTAGTCACCTGATCACTCACCTGGTGCAACCCTAGTGGCAGGGCCTGGGGTACCTGTCCCCCTCACTGGGATCCCCCCACAGCTGGCTGGCTACTGGACCTGCAGCACCTCACGCTGGGAGCTCAGATTGGAGAAGGGGAGTTTGGAGGTGAGGTGGGCCCTGGAGGGGGGAGGGGGGGGAAGGGAGGCATGCCCATGTCAGAGCTCCCTCCAGGTGTGGCTGGGAGGCCCGCATGTGCCTTCTCTGAGCCTCAGGAGCCCAGGTGGGCCTCTCCCACACATTTTGGGTCCCTCTGCTTGGAGAGCTGGTACCTGAAATTAGTTATTCTGGAAAGCTCAGGGTTAAGGTCAGAGGTCAGCCGGCTCTGTCAACATGCAGAGTGGAAATATTTTTGTCTTTGTGGACCATGTGGTCCCTGTTACAACTACAGACAATATAGATGTGGCCCTGGAAGATTGAGAGGTCTGTTTTGCTTTGCTCCTTTTGGTTTGGTTTGGTTTTGGACATAGAAAAGCTTTGTGCATCTGGGTGCCGGTGTCTCACGTCTGTAATCCTAGCTATTCAGGAGGCTGAGATCTGAGGATCACAGTTCAAAGCCAGCCCGGGCAAGGGAAGTCCGTGAGACTTTTTTTTTTTCCGTGAGACTCTTATCTCCAATAAACCACTAGAAAACTGGAAGTGGTGCTGTGGCTCAAGCGGTATAGCGCTCACCTTGAGCTGAAGAGCGCAGGGACAGCACCCAAGCCCAGAGTTCAAGCCCCAGGACCGACAAAAAAAAAAAAAAAAAAGAAAAGAAAAGCTTTATGGGAGCCAGATGCCAATGGTTCACATATGTAATCCTAGCTACTCAGGAGGCTGACATCTGAGGATCAAGGTTCAAAGCCAACCAGGGTAGGAAAGTCTGTGATACTCTTATCTCCAGTTATCTACCATAAAACTGGAAGTGGCACTGTGGCTCAAAGTTGGTAGAGTGCTAGCCTTGAGCGAAAAAAAGCTCTGGGATAGTGCCCAGGCCCTAGGTTCAAGCCTCATAACTGACAAGAAAAGAGAAGCTTTAGGGGAACAAACTAGAGTTTAAACTCAGGGACTCTTTCTTTTTTTTCTTTTAATATTGTGCTGGTACTAGGACTTGAACTCAGGGTCTGGACACCATCCCTTAGCTTTTTCCCTCAAGGTTGGTGCTCTACCACTTGAGCCACAGCTCCACTTCTGACTTTTTCTGATTAATTAGAGATAATAGGTTACTGGATTTCCCTGTCTGGGCTGACTTTGAACCAGGATTCTCAGATCTCAGCCTCCTAAGTGGCTAGGATTACAGGCATGAGCCACTCGCACTGAACTCAACACTGAATTCTGAACACTGGCTCTGAACTCAGAGACTCCTGTTTGCTAGGCAGACACTCTACCACTAATTTAGCTGTTCTCTTGAATTGAATTTATTCTCTTGCTACTTTGGGCCACAATCCTCCCACATATGCTTCCATGTAACAGTTGGGTGACAGGCATACAGCAACATGTTCTACTTTATATTGGTTGTAGAGGCTGGCTTTCAATCACAATCTTCCAGAGCTGGGAAGGTGGCTTAGTGGTAGCGTTCTTGCCTTGCATGCATGAGGCCTTGGGTTCGATTCCTCAGCACCACATAAGGAGAAAAAGCCAAAAGTGGTTCTGTGGCTCAAGTGGTAGAGCACTGGCCTTGAGCTAAAGAGCTGAGAGACAGCGCCCAGGCTGAATTCAGGCCCCAGGACCAGCAAAACAAAAACAAAAATTAAAAAAAACAATCTTCCGGGGCTGGGAAGGTGGCTCGGTGGTAGAGAGCTTGCCTTGCATGCATGAGGCCCTGGGTTCGATTCCTCAGCACCACATAAGCAAAAAGAAAAAAGCCGGAAGTGGCGCTGTGGCTCAAGTGGTAGAGTGCTAGCTAGCTTTGAGCTGAAGAGCTGAGGGACAGTGCCCAGGCCCAGAGTTCAGGCCCCACGACCAGACCTAAAAACAAAACAAAACAAATCTTTCCAATCTGCCTCCCATGTAGGTGCCACCTCCCCTGGGTTTGTTTTGTTTTGGGGGGAATCATGTTGAGACAGGGTCTCACTGCATAGCCCAGGCTAGCCTGAGACTTTGGATCCTCCATTCTCCTCCAGCTACAGTGCTAAGATTATAAGCTTGCATTTCCACACCCACTCTGGATCCTTAAAGCTTTTTTATATATATAAAATGGCACAGGAATTTGAATTCCAAATAATGATCAGTAACATTATCTAGTCTTTATCTCCTAGGCTAGTGTTATTTGTTTTTTGTTTTATTTTTATTTCTTTTCCTGGCACATCAGTCAAGCCCTCACCTCTGAGCCACACACCCCAGCCTCCCTCTGGCTTTTTTGAGCCAATTGAAAGCACACAGACCCTCCAGATCTCCAGGGCTGCAGGTGGTCTGCAGACCCAGGCTGCAATGGTTCTCTGTGACCTGGAGCTGCCAGGCTTCTGGGGGCTGTTTCAAGGACTCAGGAGCCCACGGCCATGGTGGTGCACTCAGGCAGAGGTATGAGCGAGGGTGTCCACCTGTCCTGGCTGGCCCGTGTACTGATGTGTGTGCCTGCATCCCAGCCGTCCTGCAGGGCGAGTACTTGGGGCAGAAGGTGGCGGTGAAGAACATCAAGTGTGACGTGACGGCCCAGGCCTTCCTGGACGAGACGGCCGTGATGACGTGAGTGCCCAGCGCTAGAGGTGGGGGTTGAGGGCCCTGGGATGGGGTTCGAGATACATCCTCAAAGTCCCCCCCCACACACACCACTTGCACACCCTCCCCCAGGAAGCTGCAGCACCGGAACCTGGTGCGGCTTCTGGGTGTGATCCTGCACCAGGGGCTCTACATCGTCATGGAACACGTGAGCAAGGTGCGTGGGGCGGGGCAAGGATTGGGGTGGGCGTGGTCAAACGGGGCGGGGCACGGCCCAGGCAGTGCCTGGGAGGGGAGGGGCGGGGCATGCGGACGTGGTCAGATGAGGGCATGTGGATTGGAGCAGCGTGTGGGCGTGGTCAGACACGGAGGGGCGGGGCATGCGGACGTGGTCAGATGAGGGCATGTGGATTGGAGCAGCGTGTGGGCGTGGTCAGACACGGAGGGGCGGGGCATTGTGTGAAGTGCCGTGCCTGGGCGGGGCAGGCATGGCCTGGGCGGGGCAGGCATGGGGGGCGGTGTAGACAGGTCAGTTGAAAGGGCATGAATTGGCCGGGCGCGGTGGCTCACGCCTCAGGAGGCTGAGATCTGAGGATCGCGGTTCAAAGCCAGCCCGGGCAGGAAAGTCCGTGAAACTCTTATCTCCAGTAAACCACCAGAAAACCGGAAGTGGCGCTGTGGCTCAAGGGGTAGAGCGCTCGCCTTGAGCTGAAGAGCTGAGGGACAGCGCCCAGGCCCAGAGTTCAGGCCCACGACCGACAACAAAAAAATTAAGAAAGGGCGTGAATTGGACGAGCCCCTCATTGTTTACCCCCCACAGGGCAACCTGGTAAACTTCCTGCGCACCCGGGGTCGGGCCCTTGTGAACACCACGCAGCTCTTGCAGTTTTCTCTGTGAGTGGGGCTGCCAGAAGGGATGGGTTCCAAGGTCAAGGGGAAACTGAGGCACGGAGCTGGCCTGATGGAGAGCACTCGGCCCCTGTGCACCTCCCCAGGCACGTGGCCGAGGGCATGGAGTACCTGGAGAGCAAGAAGCTGGTGCACCGGGACCTGGCCGCCCGCAACATCCTGGTCTCCGAGGACCTGGTGGCCAAGGTCAGCGATTTCGGCCTGGCTAAGGCCGAACGGAAAGGGCTGGACTCGAGCCGGCTGCCGGTCAAGTGGACGGCACCCGAGGCGCTCAAACATGGGGTGAGCCCCTACTATGCCCTCAAGACTTTGGGGAAGCCCAAAGCAAGCTTGGTGTCCCAGCTGTGCAGTGTGGCCTAGCCATGTCACTCAGCCTCTCTGAATCTGCACGGGACCTGGCGCTACCTCTCCAGGAAGCATGACACCCTCTCTCTTCCTCAGTTTCCCCATCTCTGAAGCAGGCAATGGCTCCCAATGGAGGGGGAGACTAACAGCTTCCTCCCCATCAGGGGGGTCTAGCAGGGAGTTTTAGGAGACCAGGGAGTGAGGGCCACCCACGAGGGCTTCCTGGAGGAAGCACAGTGGAGGAAGCCCCAAAGGGCCCCTCCTCACCCTAACTTTGGGCCCCACAGAAATTCTCCAGCAAATCAGACGTGTGGAGTTTCGGGGTGCTGTTGTGGGAAGTCTTCTCATACGGACGGGCTCCATACCCCAAAATGGTGAGCAGGGTTCAGAGGATGGCACCGGGTCACCTGGTCCAGACCCAGGCTCTGACCCACACCACACCCCTTTCCATCTACAGTCCCTCAAGGAAGTGTCGGAGGCTGTGGAGAAGGGGTACCGCATGGAGCCCCCCGAGGGCTGCCCAGGCCCCGTGCATGCCCTCATGGGCAGCTGCTGGGAGGTGGAGCCCGCCCGCCGGCCGCCCTTCCGCAAAGTGGTGGAGAAGCTGGCCCGGGAGCTGCGGTGCACAGGCGCCCCGGCCACGGTCACGGGGCAGGATGCCGACGGCTCCGCTGCCACCCGAAGCCAGGATCCCTGACCCCGCCCTGTGGGACCAAGGGGACCAAGAATGTGGAGACCACAGGACAAGGATTGGACCAGGCCAAAGGAGGGTCCAGGCCAGAGCCGCCCTCCCAGCCCCAGGCAGGGCAGACCTGGCCAGGGGATCTCTGGGCACCACAGACCAGGAAGTGGGGGGGGCCATTGCCTCCATAAAGATCCATTCTGAGGACTGTGGTGTTGGTGTCTCTCTGTGACCCCTGAAAGCCCCACCTGGGGGCCTCTGTGTCCCCTCTCCTGTCACCTCCTCACCCCCTGATCTCCTGGCCTCCACTGGACGGTGACCCTCAGCACTCCACTTCCCACCCCCACAGGGTCTACCCCCAGGGAATACAGTTCCCTAGGTTGCTTCCAGGCTGGGGACCATTGGCCATCTGCTTTGAGTCCCCTGTGAGATAACTCTGCTCACCCCTGGGGCCCAGGCTCTGATGTTCTAGAAAAAGCCAGTGGCCCTCAGGGGCCATGTCTCCTCTTCCTGTACTGCCTGCAGGGCTTGAACTCTGAGCCTGGGTGCTGTCCTTCAAATCTTCAGCTCAAAGCGAGTGCTCTACCACTTGAGCCACTGCACCACTTCTGGTTTTCTGGTGGTTCATTGGAGATAAGAGTCTCACAGACGTTCTTGCCTGAGCTGGCTTTGAACTGTGATCCTCAGATCTCAGCCTCCTGAGTAGCTAGGATGACAGGCGTGAGCCACCAGCGTCTGGGTACTGCCTGTTCTTTTCTCTGCTCAGAGATAGGGCTCTGTTGCGGGCCTCTCTCCATTTGGAGACACCACCTTGGTCCTCCAGCTGTGCCTCGCACACGGGGTGGGCCCCTCACTCAGCACTCTCAGGTCCGATCCGCCCATGTCCCAGGAGGTGAGGGCTGGGGAGGCCCGGGTGGCCCAGACAGTGCAGGATGCTTCCCCCGGGTGTCTGGGGGAAGGGAGTGGCAAAGCGAAAGGCAGCCTGGCCTATATAGAGAGATCCAAAGCCAACTTAACTCAATCAGGACAGTGTCATGACCCAAACCTAGTGTCACAGGAGACATTTGGACAGAGAGAACACCATCCTGCCACCCATGTACCATGTGCCACCCATCCGTCCACCCATCATCCATCAGTCCATCCATCCACCCATCATCCATTAGTCCATCCATACACCCATCATCCATCAGTCCATCCGTCCACCCATCATCCATCAGTCCATCCGTCCACCCATCATCCATCAGTCCATCCGAACACCCATCATCCATCAGTCCATCTGAACACCCATCATCCGTCAGTCCATCCGAACACCCATCATCCGTCAGTCCATCTGAACACGCACCCTCATTACTCCACAGACCTGACTGAATGCATACCCCGTGCCAGGCTCTCTGATGCTGGACAACCCCACAGACCCTGCTGTGGTTAACTTGCAGGTGACACCATCCTGGGACAACAGCTGCCAATTATCCAGGGACCTGGCACCGGGCCCGTGCTTGGGGACAGCACCTGAGGGCCAGCTCAGTGGCCTGAGTGCTGCCACCCCGTCTGCTGCTCACAGTGGCTGCTTCCACGCTGACACACGCTGGCTCTCGTGTATGACCTGGGGTCAGAGGCTATTTCTGGCACATGGGACGTTGGTGCTCAAAGCAGAAAGTCCCTGGGTGACCAGGCCAAGTGGCTCCTACTGGACAAGCCGGCCTGACTCAGGCCTTAGAAGGCTGCACCCTGGCCCCAGAGCCCAGTGAACCTAGCTGGGCATCTGGTAGGGCTGCTCTCCCTGCTCTGCCCTTTGTCTCTAAGCCCCCTGCCCTCCTGGCCTCACCCCCCACACACACACATACACACACACAACCCTGCAATCCGGAGCCATAGCTGGCTCCTGGTCTCTAGTCACTTGGCCCTGAACTGTACTTGTGCAATCCTGGGCCCGGCTCCTGGCTCTGTGCTGTGTGTTGTGTGCCTAGACATGGCTTGGCCCATCTGTCTCTGTCTCTAATTCTGTCCTGTCTGTGTCTGTCTGTGTCTGTCTGTGTCTGTCTCTGTCCTTTTTTTGTCTCGGTCCTATCCATCTCTCTCTCTGCCTCTGCCTCTGCCTCTGCCTCTGCCTCTGTCTGTGTCTCTGTCCTATGTGTCTTGTTCTCTGTCCTGTCTCTGTCCTGTCTCTATCTCTATCTGTCTCTGACTCTGTCCTACCTCCGTTTCTGTCTCTGACCTGTCTCTGTCTCTGTCCTGTCTCTGTCTTCCTATATCTGTTTCTATCTCTGTCCTGACTGTCTCTATGTGTCTCTCCCTCCCTCCAAAGCCAACATCAGACATGTCTCCATCCCTGGCCCTACATCTTCTCCCAGCATTACTAAATCCATCTGGCCCCCACTCCCCCCAGAAGTGTCTCGGTGCCCCACCCCTCCAAGCTCTCCTCCAGAAGTGCTCCCCATCTCTCCTGCCCTTGCCATGCCGACCAGGCCTCTCTCTTACATGGACACTGGCTCCACACTTTGCCCACAGAGCACTCTTGTCCAAGATGCCACTGTGTCTCTTGCTCTAGAACCTCCCATGGCTCCCATATACCCTCTCCTTCACCTCCAATCCTAGCTAGGATTTGCACCCTTTCACTCTATCTTCCATTCCTCAACAGCAAACTCCCACCTGGCACGCCTGCCCGCCCCTGCCTGAGTTTTCTCAGCAGGTTAATGACATGTGACATGGCACGCCCTGATTTTAATTCCCTCACAAGCACCTGTCACTAGAAGGCCGGCTGCATGACTTTCTGTTTTGTTCACTGCTGTGAATGCTATCTGGGCTTCATTAAGCGATCAATGCATGCCTAGCGAGTGAATGAATGAGGAACACCTATTCATTGTTCAAGACACAGGAAAAAAGCATGCCCCTACTATTTGCCCTGGTAGGAGAAGTTCACTGGCTTCCCCAGATCCCTTTCACTCTCAAAATCTTAGACAGTCTTTTTCTTCCTCCAGCTGATAAAAATGGTAACCGGGGACATTCGTTGAGCACTTCCTATATGCCAAAAACAGCATGGCACTCTAGTTTCTTCATGTCACTTTGAGACCCCCGAGATCGCACCAAGTAGGTGCTGGTGTCACCGGTTCACAGCTGGCACCAGACTGGTGGCCCTTAGTGCCCCTCAGCCCCTCCCCCAGCCTTTTCCCCCAGTCAGAGGGTGAGGGGAGGCCTCAACTAACCACCAGCACTAAAACTACCCCCGGGGAAGCTGGCCATCAGAGACTGCTGCAGGCGGTGAGCATCAAGGACAGGTGGCAAAGGAGGGGGGCAGGGATCCCCAGAGAGGACTTAAGCCCAAGAAGGTGGCCCATGGGGACAGCATCCTGCCTCCTCCTCCTGGGGGTTCCTCAACATACAGGGACAAGGACCTTAGGACACAGACGAGAAGACAGAATGGAGAGGAGTGGAGGCAGAGACAGGCCACAGCAGACACTAGAGGCACCCGGGTGGGACAGGGTGGGATGGGGAGCCCATCCCCCAGCCGGCAGTGCTTCCAACTAGCTCACCACAGTCTGTCCTGCTGCTGTCTGCCAAGTGAGGCCTGGCTATGTTCCTGAGCCAGAGAGAGCAGTTGGGGGATCGAGGGCGGGTGTACCTGGGACAGAGGAGCCCCAAGCCAGTTACAGCGCTCTCCCACCACCAGGATGTGTACAGCAGGGAGCTGGCAGGCAGGTGCATCTGCCTGAGGTACTCATGGGCACTGGGCAGGTGACAGCACCCCGTTTCCCATGGCGGGGAAGATACGGGCCCTCCCCCCACACCCAAGAACCAACAGAAGAGAAACTGTCCTTCCTGACGCTGAGGCCCTGATGCAAGAGAAGTTTGGCCAGCTGGGAAGGAGAAAGGGGATGCGGAGATGTGGTTAGGGCGCAGGCGCTTTCCCTGAGCTGAGTGTGAAGGGGTGAAGGGAGGCAGAGAACGGGGCTTCAGAGAACTGAGGAAGGCCTTGAATGGAGAATTGGGCTCAACTCCATGCCAAAAGAAACCAGCAAGAGGGAGGAGGAACGGCGAGGAAGGCCTGGATGCGGGGAGGATGGAGGGCTGCAGGCCAAGGTCCCCTTAACACAGTGCCTGTGGGAATTGGGGGGCTGGAGAGGCTCTCTGGGTGGAGTGTTTAGGTTCTTGTTCCTGAGCTGTGGCAACCTCGAGACTCCCCGAGGCACCAGCTTCTGCCATTTATCCACCCTCCATCCATGCACCTATCCCCGGAGCCGTGCCTGGGCCCCAGGTCCCCCATGGCACCAGGCTTCCTACACTTCCTGGGACCAGGCCTGGGGGGATTCAGGTGTTCTTGGGGTCCCATGCCTTTGGGCCAAGGTTCACTGACAGCTTCATCCTGGAGGAGCTGGTGCAGGATCAGGGCAGGGCCTGGCCCCCAGCGTGAGCCTGGGGCCCCTCCAGCTGCCCTGCTCAGCTGGAGCCCAAGGCCTGACACAGGCCTGTGACAGAGGCCACTGTCCAGCCAGGCTGTGTGGGAGCCCATCCTCAGTCTCCTAATCCAAGCCATGGTGGATCCTGCAGCAGGAGTCACCAGAATGTGGACTGTGAGTGTGGACAGACACAGCCACTCGGCCCGCCCCAGGCCAGCACCCACGGCCACACTGTCCTCAGTGACAAGACCCGTGGCGCTCCTGCACCGGCTTCCTGTCCCCACCACACAGGCCCTCCCACAGCCAAGGCCCAAAGGAGGCTTCCTGAGTCAACCAGCAGGGGTGGACAGGTTTCCTGCCACTGTCCAAGGCAGACGGTGATTCTGGGTGCTGGGACAGGGTGAGGTGGCCATGGCTGGGGGGTTCAGGGGAGACTGTCAGAGGCCGGCCCACGCTGGGCAAGGTCTATGTCTGCCACACGGCACCCAATGCTGGTGTTGCTTGTGGCCCTTTGACCCTGGGCCATGTGTGTATCACCGTCTGGCCAAGGGCAGGGCTGGCCTCTGCCCTGATCCATGCTGCCACGGGGCCCTGTCTCCCCAGGGCTCAGCAGAACATAAGTGGGTGTCACCCTCCCATAATAGGGCTGGGTTCTAAACAGACTGCTTGGGGCTGGGCGTGACCTGTGACCAAGGGGCGGTGGGGGGGGGAGGGGCAGGCTGAACCCTGTCTGAGCCAGGGCCTAGAGCCTGGAGAGGAACAAAGCCAAAGCTGCAAGTGGCTGAACCCCCCCCCA